ACTAAATAATTCGGACATTGCCAGGGGAAGGGATTTGCCAAGAAAACTTGCTAGTGTCTGGCAAGATTATATACAAATGGCACCTGGCAGTTGAATCAAAGGGGTTGGAGGAAAAGATATGCCAAAGAAAAAGGTTAAAATCAAATAGAAGCAGGTATATTCTTTAGCACTGATTTGTCACATAAAAGGCCACTGAAAATATGTGGGAATTGATAGCAAGTTCTACTGAATTTTGCTCCAGATTTTGTGGGGACTTTTTAAATGTATAAATCTGTGGGGATTTTTAAAGCAAATTCAATAAATATACACTAAAATGTATTGGAAAACTATTTACATTTTTAATGGATATTTTAAAATAGAATATACTTATTTCACCCAATCCTGGCTGTTTTCCTGTTGTTGGTGATGTTTCGGAAGGGCTGTAAAGTCTTTTCATTAACAGTTTCACTTTGAAAATGGCAAGCAGTTTAGACCCTGATCATGCAGTGAGCTGATCCATGCACAGCACTGTTGACTTCAGTTGGAGCTGCAGGGACTCAACACCTCTGAAAATCAGGCTCCAAAATGAGTTATATTGGGCCCCAAAAATTGAGGAACCAAAAATTAGTGACATTTGAAATCAGGAGGAATTCTGGATATGGAGGGATTCCAGTGTCAAGTCCTTGGATTGGTCACTGTTCCCTGGAATACCACTTATCAAAAGCACCCGGATAGGGTCTGATCAAAAGCCTATTGAATTCAATGAAAAGATTCCCTTTAATTTCAATAAGCTTTGGTTCAGGCCCATGTTGCCTAAAAATATGACAAAAGGTTGCATAGGAGCCACTATGCAAACTATTTGCGATTGGAATGCCTTCCTTCACTGGTGGGTTCCTCCATTGGCCGGTTATGCTGGTCTTAGGGCCATAGTTCACCAGTGGCAGAAAACCATGTCATTGCACTGCACTGGAGGCTCTGGACCAATATTTTACCTACTCACCTAAGAACATGAAATAAAAATATTTGTCTACACCTCTTCTGTCTTTTTTAGGTCCATTAATTACTCATAGGAAATATGCACCCGATTCTGCTATTTCTTTCATTGTTGTGATTCCACTGCTTTCTATGGAGCTACCTCTGATCTGCACTGCTGAGAGACTAAAATCAGATCCAGTGTTTGCCTATTAAACAGGGTAATGAAAACAACCTGGATAAAATTTACAGCTCAAAGAAATGTTTGAATTTAACCCTACATTATGTGCCCACTCTGTCAGCACATCATGAATCCAAGACACATGATATCCATAGCACCAACTCATATTTCAGCCCTCCTGTCCATTTTCTTCTCAGTTTTATCTAAGAAAATGAATACTTAACATTGTTTAAATCAATTATTGTAACATCTGCTTCAGCTGTCATGATTTAAACTGAGTTATAGCCTCTTTTGGATCCTTCTGCTCCTCAGTTTCCTCTTTATTCTCTTTAGCCTTGAAATTAAATGTTCTCCTGAAGCACTGCACCATGCAGTTAGATAAAGCTGGTAAATTGCTGGTTGAAGTAAGGCTTGTCTTTACGGATTGACACAACAGAGTCATAATATTAAAATAAATAAGCTCTTATGAGATCTTGCTTGTAAATCACTGTGTATGGACACAGGAGCCTTTGCAGCTTCAGGTAAAGGCTAGGTCAATACTGAAGGAGAGCTAGTTAAAAAAAATGAAACATCAAAGGGAAAATTCACTCTTGTGCTGAGTGCCTGACCAAGGCCCTGTGCACCATTTAACTCCCGCTGAAATTATAACACAGGCCTGTGCACTGAGCTGAATCTACTCAAACTGAATACAGTGGGCAATGTTAAAAATTTAACTATTATTATTTGTATTATAGTAGCATCAAGAGGCCACAGTTGAAATCAGGGCCCATAGATAAATGTGGTGACAGTCTCTGTCCTGGAGAGTTTACAGTGTAAACAAACAAAGGCTAAGACAGGCAACGTGTGGGAGCTGAGGCACCTAGGCACGAGCGGTGAAGTGACTTACCTAAGATCACACAGCAGGTAAACGGGTGGTGAGTTATATGGGCCCATGGTGCCCATGCTCCAGCAATATTCAGGGCGCAAGGGCCTGGCTCTACCAATGTTTGGTGCCAGGTCTCTCCCCTGGCCCGGCCTGCTGCCCCGAGTGCCTCCCCCGGCATGTCCCTGCCTGCCGGTGGGGAAAGGGCTGGGGGGAGTCCTCCTCTCTGGCTCCAGCCCCAGGGCAGCCTGCCTGCACCCCAAACTCATCCCTGGCCCACACCCCCAGTCAGAGCCCATCCCCTGCACCCCAACAATCTGCCTCAGCCCTGAGCCCCCTCCTGCACCATGAACCCCTCATCCCTGCACTCGTGCTGAGCCCCTCCCATACCCCAAACCCCCCTCATGGGGGAGGCGGGACTTGGACCCATTCTAGGCACCACCAAAAATTATACAAACCTGCTGCCCCTGAGGTAAATGGCAAAGCTGGGAATAGAATTCAGGTGTCTTGACTCCCAGTCTCATGACCTAGCCCAGAACACATTGCCTTTCCAGTGTACACACTGATTGTGGCATAGTGGTATCTCCTTTGTTAATTGTAGGATGATACTATGATTATTGCAGGTTCCTGTGCTGACAACTGTTGAGGTTTTAATGGCACCTCCTGAAAAATCAGTCTTCTTATTGTTTTCACTACAGTTGGTTGCAGAATTTCAAAGGGCATTCATCCTGTATTTTACCTCTCTAAAGTCCAGGTATACCATCTTGGTTAGTAACTGCAACAGTTTCACAAGGATTCTCTTGTTGATTATCCTCCTCATCCAGGAACCTCTTGGGGCATACAATTTTCTTATATAGTAAAATTTGTCTGTAGACCATTGATGACAATGTTCTGCAATTTCTGTAAACTGGTTTCTCTCCTTGCTTGTGAACATGCAAAGAGTGCAAGAATTCTGATTGTGTAGTTTTTCACATGCAGTTTGTACCAAGGTAAATGCCTACACAAGGTGCAAGGCAGTGAAGAATCAAATCTCCTAACTTCCTGTCCAAACTCTGAGATGCTACGCACCTACAATTCCCATTAAAGTCACTTAGATGTGCAGATGCTTGGCAACCATCAGAATTTAATCCTATATTAAGAGAGTATAAAGCCAGAAAAAGAGAGAGAGTGAAAGAGCAAGGTCTCCTACATAGTGGTCACCACTAAAGTCTTTGTTCTTGCTTAATTAACATTACCAGAATGTTCCCTGTGCTTAGCCAGGGGACTACCAAGAACACCATGGTAAAGTTGATTACTTGCAACCAGCAATTGTTGCCATTAAAGTTTTTAGTTCTTCTATTCCACTAGGTATGGTGGCACGGGACAGCAGCAGTAAGTCTAGGAGGTTGAGTATAAGAAAGCAGCATAAGAAAGAAGCAGATATTACTGTCCCTTGCCACAATTCTTCCTGGACTATCAGTGTCCAATAGAAAAAAGCAACTCACAATGAAGCTCATTTAGTGCTGCACTTGGAAATCAAATGGTACAGTCCTTCCCCTAGCAATCCTGTGCACAGCGGGCCTGTACAAACTGCACTGTCCTTCCTGCATTCAGCACTGCCTGCTCCCTGCACCATGGAGGTGCAGAGTGGGGTGGGGCCATGACGTTATCTCTTCCCTATCCCTTCGAGGCGACATGTGCTTTTGGGGGTACACCACGGAGGGAGCAGAGTTCCTATACTCTTCCAAGTGCAGGGACTGTGGCTGTGCCTTTGTGTGGGGCACAAGAGCCAGTCATCATGTGGCCCATCCTTAGGAATGACACTGATGCTCAAGTACATAATTATTTTTTTATGCAGAAAATCAAATGAGAAGAAACCTGACACATTATGTAACATGATTATAATAAAAAACGAATAAATAATAAAAGGGCTACTATCAAACACAGCCCTGAATTGTTAGCCTTGCCCACAAAACCATAACTGGGATGGGAGCTTGACCCACTATTGCCATGGTGCCGAAAAGGCATTTTTGTCTCAGACCCTAACCCACGCTACTGAGTTTAGGGTGACCTTCCTGGACTAACAGGAAAACAGAAGACATTGCTAATATACCCAAGAATGTGTTGGACACAGCTGAGTCGTGGTTTACGTTTGGAAAGCACCTAGCACATTAGCAGTGCTACTAGAAACAAATAATCGCAAGTGGTCTGAGAGCCATCCACAAAAACGCACAACCAAATGAAACCAAAACCATAGACATTTTATGAATCATCATCCATTTTTGTAAACCTTTTCCCCCCCTTCCCCACAACTCTCTTCTGACCATCAGATATAACCACTTTGTTTTCTCTTACCCCAGGACTCAGCCCATATATGAATACATCAGTGTTCCTAATCCCATAATCAAAACTGCTAGAAGAAAAGGAAAAATACAAAACTCCTCCCTCCCAATTTCACTATATGAATTAGTTGACTTGTGAATAGTACTTTTCCATAGATCAAGAACTGGATTAAAAATATGCACTTAATTTACATAACGGTAGAATTCCCTTGTTGAACAGGATATATGAATATACCTTCATAAACACATTCTGGAAAATTAGTGGGACTGCTGTTTTTGGACAAACCACCTTACTTTCTCCTCCAAACGTGGGAAAGGCATCAGGAATGCAATTTCTGGGAAAGCAAACTGAGGTTTGGACTAACATTAGGTAGCCACTGGTTCTTTTGTGCGGCTGCCAAAGGAATTGTTTATAAAACCCAGGTATTTGGGCCATGTGGTAAAGAATATGAATTTCATCACAGACATTATTTCATCACATGAACAGTCTTAACAGAAGCATCGTTATGACACAGAATACAAGCATTTTGTGTAGAAACTCCATTCTGGCACAGAATTTAGGTTGATATTTTATAGCAACCAGCTTTCTGCCAATATACTGTAAATACAGTATTTTACAACCAAAGTAAAAGTATACCCTCTGTATTAGAGAGCAAACAGTAATACACAAATATAAATAGTGGGATTTTACAGAAGAAACTTTGTACAATAGTTTTTTATTAATTAAAAATGAGAGTCATGCTCATTTACAAGGCAGATTAGACAAAGTGAAAAAATATCATTATCAGTGTAATTTTGCATTAGCAAAATAGCTCTATCATAGGTTTAGAGGATCCATGCTTTTTCCCTCCCTCAAAACTGTTAAGAAGTATTAATTAGTTTTGGCCTCAGCCTTGTCCCTTCAAGCCCGCTGACTACACAGATATGACAAATCTGGAGACAAGAACTGGGTCCAAAGGCACATAAACAAGGCCAGGGTGGTCCTTTCAAGCAAGTCAAGGTTTTTTTGCTCTCGATACCCCTGGTACATTAGCAGTCTGTGGAGAATTTCCCATTTTTGATAAAAGCCTTCTGTTGAATTCTCTGTTGCCTCCTACCTACCAGTGACTCCCAAATGAAGTATACAGATGCTATCCTTTTGCTTTCCTGGGCTGGGGTGCATAAGGCATTATTTTCATCTGGAAGCAGGAAATAAAGTTCAGTCAAGTTTACCAGCACTCCTGTGTGTAACACCTTTAAAATATGCTGTTTTGACATTTTCACTCAAGTAGCGCCATTTAAAAATACATACAATTATTTTTTGTAAAATTTCAAAGTTGTTTCCTTTTCACAGTGTTCAAAACAGACCCATTTTTCATTCCTATACATGTGTTGCAAAAGACTAAGTAAAATTTTGAGTGAAAACCTTATCAAAATCCAATCAACGTAGACAAGACAGTGGATATGGTACTGTGGAAGCTGGCAACCAATGATGATTACCACTCAGTGACACATACGTTTGATCTGGAAACAGCATGTGCTTGTGTGACAGAGATGTGTCTGTCAATAAACAAAGTCCTGCAGAGGCATGTGATCCAAATACAATATATATCCCTAAGATAATGGAAGGGTTTGAGCACCAAAGGAGTTTCCCAAATGGTGGAAATGCTTCAGGTGGAAGAGGTTTACCCATTCTGCATTCACACAAGGAAGCAGTGGAGACCAGGAATCAAAAGGGTTACTGCTCCATTGAGGCAACCCCTGGTGTGTACTAGGCCTGGTGCCTGATGTTCACGTAGGCAAGTTGACCAAAATACCTGAAGATATGCACCTTTTCTAGAACACTGGCCTGTTTGAGAAAGGGCAGAATGGCACTTTGTTCTTTCCCCACAGTAGCGATAGATGTGGTGTCTGGCTACACTGTGATTCTGAGACACCCTTCTCACCGGCTACTCCTTTGGTTTACACCACCGGGGACAAAAGTTGCTCCCACCACCAACTCAGGTGGTGCAGAATGCTGATTAAATGTGCCTTTGGCAAGCTCGAGACTTGATGGAGTTGCCTCTCTGAGCAAATAAATCCACTGATTATACTCATTATTGCCGCAGACTGTATTTTTTGTAATATTGCAGAAAATACTTCTCTTCTACACAACACACAATTACCTGTGAGACTCACTACCTCAAGACACCATTTTGGCCAAAAGCTTGGCAGGATTAAAAGAAGGATTAGATATTTATATGGATAACAACAACATCCAGAGTTAAATTAGTATCAATAAAAATAACATTGGAAGGGCATAATTCAGCCCTTAACTGATGGGGTATAGAAGGAAACTTCCTCTGCTCTTAAGTTATTCCCTGACTTCCTACTGAAAAGGCTTCTTGCACCTTCTTCTGAAGGATGATACTTGCCATTGTTGGTGACTGGATACTGAACTAGATGAGTCACTGGTTTGATTCAGTCTAGCAAAGGTAACATTCCTTTGACATTTGTGAGCGCATGGGGGAAATGTAATACACTAGCATAAGGCACCATCCTGCTTCCACTGAAGTCCATGGGAGTTTTGCCATGGACTACAAGGAGAAAAGGATTAAGCCCTCAGTACACAGGCTTGTCTCCCCCTCTAATGGCTGACTGGGACAGAGATTATAGCAGCCTGCTACAAATTTACAGCTATAAAAGTGTTCCTTTAGCTCAAGAGAAACCTGTAGTTTTGGTGCTGAAGGTTTTGGGTTGGATTCTCATTGACAGCCATTGTGTCTTGATGTATGCAGTCAGCTACCGCTCATAAGAGAAGCAATGCAAGGTGCAGCATTTTATTAGTAAGAAGCCCATGGAGTTTCAGGAACCCACCACTGCTGTCAACAACTGGGAACATAGTTAGGGATGACATCCACCAGTGCTACTGTAATTTCACAACTTGATTTTATTTACACACAAGTGAGACTGGTGCCAAGGCAAGGTCCTGTGATGGGCCTGGTGATCGGGGTGATTACAGATAAAGGCACTGTAATGATCATTTTGGGCACTCAACCTTTGCTCACAGGGTGGTGATCACTCCAGAAAAATAGCACTGCAACCAGACTACAATGCTGGCACTTGTGCTAGGAGGAGGGTATAGCTTGTAGAAGGTAACTGAAGTGGTCACTGCTAGAGTAAAGCTGAGGGTAGATAATGTTCGGTTATGTGGTAGGCAGATGGCAGGACAGTATGGAAACCCTCTGTCATGTAGAGAATAACCACGGCCTGATTTTGCAGGTCCCTTTTGCATTGTGTGCACTCCCCCCTCCAGGTCTGACCCTCTCCATCTGCAGCTTTGTGCTCCGAAGAAATGGCTTGAGGGTGTCACTTTCCTTGTCCCGTGCGTCTGTTCCTGCGTCTTCTGTCTTCTTCTCCTTCATGTCCATCAGACCTGAATACTTCCTCATGTCCCACTGCCAAATGAGGTGGAAACTATCCCCTGACTTTTTTCTTCCTCCCTCAATTGGTTCAGCAGCTGCTCTGGGTGACTCTGCTTTTTCACTCTCTTAGCAGCTACTGGAAGGTTTGCAGACCCATCAGCACAGTCAATTTCTGATTTTAACGTGCAGCTACAGCACCTGTGAGGTAAGGAAAGTAGCATGGGTTAACAAGAACTCTTACTGCAATGCTGCGTGCACATCCCCACTGCTTGCTACCAATATGGAAGCTGTAAAAGGGAAGTGCCACCATCATTTTTACTTTGGTGCCAGAATAGCAATCAACAAATACAATGTAATTTTTCCTGATTTTCCTTCATTTTCTTCTGGATAAATTCTTTAATTCATTCCAAAGAGTGAACTACATAAAAGACCAAAATCCAGACCAGGAACACAAGCCATCTTGGTAAATGCACCTTTGCAAAATAACTGAACACTTTTACATTTTCAGGAAGGAAGGAGGAATATATTTTCCGGGTCACAGACACAAAAGTACGGCCAGAGCCGCTGTGCGGAGAAGCCTGTAGATGCAACATGGTGGCATGCAATCGCCACTTCTGTTAGTAATCAGATTCCTTCAACACTGAAGCTCTGGCTGAACTGGGGCAAAAGGAACTAACATGGGACCAGAAAGGGGACAAACTTGGGCTTCTGTATGCAGAGTGCTCTATCACCACCTATTGGCAATAAACAAGAAGTGGAGATTATAGAATCTCAAAATCTGAATGCAAAAAACCAGATTGACAGATGCTAAGATTTTAATGGCAGGCACTGTATTTTCAGGGGCGGGGGGGGGGGGAGAACGGGACTGAGACAGAATTCTGTTTGTAAACAGATATCCAATAATTGAAAATAACCTCATCTTTATCATAGGACAACCATTTCAAAGTTAGGAAATTTGGACTAAAAGTTCCACACAAAAAAAGCCCTGAACTTTGCCCTCTATCCCTGTTCATAGGTGTCCTAGTGAAATATTCTTAAATTGAAACTTCAGAGTTACAAATTAACAAATGGTTGGTTTCAGAGTAGCAGCCGTGTTAGTCTGTATTCGCAAAAAGAAAAGGAGTACTTGTGGCACCTTAGAGACTAACCAATTTATTTGAGCATAAGCTTTCGTGAGCTACAGATCACTTCATCAGATGCATTCTGTGTAGCTCACGAAAGCTTACACTCAAATAAATTTGTTAGTCTCTAAGGTGCCACAAGTACTCCTTTTCTTTTTGTGATATTAACAAATGTTCTAAATCACTGATTCTGAACAAAAAACAAAAAAAGATACTCTTACAGGTATATTGCCTGCCTTCTCTCCTCCATGATAAATAAATAACATCCTCACTTGGTTTGGTGAATGGGGTTCTCTGAGGCCTATGGCTACATGAATACAGTGGACTAGATCGAAGTATGTATCTGATATATCTGGAGAATGGGATCTTGAACACATTCCAGGAGGGTTAATATGGAAGATACAATGGGATTTCTTGTCTCAGGTTCGACAACTCTAACCCATCAGATGTAGTCAGGGAGTGGCAGTCCTCCCATTCTAGTTCACATGACCTCTCTCAGTTGGATATTCAACAGAATCAATAATTACTGGGATGTGAGAGGGTAGTAAATACCTTTGAGGAAGGTATTTCCAAAACATTAGAGTCTTTCCCTTTTCATATTCCTTGTGAGCTTCCATAGCTTCTGTTTCATTCTCTTTCCCCCTTCTTCTTGGCTTGCTGTTAATGTATCTTCAGGGACGGTTTTGCCTCTCAATTGCTTTGAGCTGGACTTGAACTTTAATGGGATTTCTCTGTCTTTAAAAATCTTCATCTTTCTTTGAACAGGCAGAGAACAGAAAAACCTCCTCAATCTGGAGAGAGACTCTGCTTCAGGCAAACAAGCTGTCTCAATATTTGTTATGGTGTCTATAGCTGCAATGCAAACTGAGGCTACAGGGTCATATTTGAGATCATCAAGAGCTGAAACCAAGAAGAAATGAATGTCAAGGCTCACAGTATCAATGAGATGACATTTCATTAGGCTCCATTATTTTATGCCATTTTCCTGGGCCCCATGCCATATCCCAGCAGTAGAAGCAGAAAATATATATTATTTCTAATCTGCCCTGTGTGCCAGGATGAGCATTTAGCCTTCCTCACCCCTCGTCACCACCTTCAGGCCAAAGCATTCAGTCATCACATTAGATGTCATAGATTGAGAACCATCGAGTTCAATTTGTGAAGTCCTCATTTCTGCTCTGTAAATGAAAAAGTTGGAACCTCTTCAGCGCAATCAGAACACACTCACACCTGGGAACTATCCTATCAGAAGAGGGGTTAGGAATTGTAAAGGGGTGTAACTAGAAATAATGGGATGACATTAAGCACAGAAGATGTACGCCAAATGTGAAAAAAATTACGAATAGTGAAGTCTTTCAAACTGTAGTATAGTCTCGACGAAAAAAGGGCTGGATGCCCTATGACTGGACTGATGTTTACCACATGACAACACAAAGCACTGTAGGGAACATTCCTGAAATATCTCTTTTTTTCCCGTTTCTAATTGAGTTTATAAACCTCATTTGAATCTATTTTAAATAAGAATAAAGACTGCAGTGGTGAGGATTGGGACTGGTCTATAGAGTCTTTCATTTTCATCATTGGTTCGAATTCAGCCTGGATCTACAATTTGTAAATGACTTTTCCGTTGGATAGCTATGTGAAATACAAAAGGCATACAAAAGGCGTTGTAGTGGAATAGACTAATGGTCCATCTAGCCTACTATCCTATCATGGCAGTGGCTGGTACTTGATGCTTCAGAAGAAAGCAAATAAAAACTCAATATGCCCTTAAGCTAGGTATGTAATACCATATCATAAGGGAAATAATATTATGAGCCTAATTCTGATCTCAGTTACACTGGTTTTACATAAGTGTGACACTACTGGGCTAGATTCTTGGCCCCTCTTTGCCAGCCCACTGGGGCAAAGGGGCCATAGAGCTGTTTTAATTGGTCTCCTGAGCACTTCCCTAGTGGAAGGGGTATTCCCAAGAGAGGCAGAGCCAGTAGTGGCTCAGTGCTATCCTCACCCCTCAGCAGTGGGGCCTGACCAAGGGAAATGGGGCCTGCCAGGAGGGCCATTGCCCAGGGGGATGCAATTAGAGCAGCCCTAAGACTATACAAGAGCAGCCCAAGGATTAGGGAGCAGCAGAGATGATATAAACCACCCCTGCCCTGCCTCCAGGCCTGTGCCAAGTGCAACTCAGCCAGATGGCCAAATCTTGCTCACTGACTTCAATAGAGGTTCTCCCGTTTTATACCTGTCTGTGGGAGCAGAATTAGGTCCCTTATATTTTTATAAATATAAGGGATATATATATATATATGGGACCTCTAAGCACTTTATAAACTTAAAAATTTGAATACAAACTATACACAAGGATTCCTTCAAGTGTACAAGCCCCGCTACATACATTTCAGGACACAAAGTGAAGAAAACCTTTATCCTACTGCAGCTCCAGGAGGGATTTAGATTTGCAGAATGTAGTTGCTCCCACTGAAATTTGGCCAGGACACTAACGTTCAAATAATCTTACTCAGAGCACCTTCAATAACCAGAAAAGTTTGAGATCTCAGCTTTGGGTAGTGCCTGCAGCAGCACACTGCCCCCTAGAAACATGGTCTGGCATCAGTTTAGAACTAATTCAGAAGGAAGAGTCCTGCTCACAATTGCTACCTCGCACACTGGACCTACACTGTTGCTTGGAGATTTCCCATCCAAATGTGCAACCAGACCAACAGAACATTGCTTGGCTTTGATGAAAGCAAAGGAGATAACAAACCAAGGTAAAACATCAAAATATGGTCAATTGTACACTGCAGAGCCAAGAAAATAAATTAGCTTGACACCACCTCAAGATAAATAAAGTTATCTTCATTAGGAAGTGCTAAAAAGCTACTGTCCAATGTATCCCAGAACTTTTGAGTCTTCTCTGAGCTGTTCATAATGACATCTAGGTCTCCTTCCTGAGGGGTTACGATCAGTTCATAGCCCTGCAATGTGCCCACTTTTATCTACACTGAATTTTCTCCCCTGTCATGTTGCCCAATTTTCTAGTCTTATAAAATTCCTCTTCATTCTTCCAAGTCTTGATTAATCTAAATGACTGAGTCATCAGCAAATTTCACCACCTCACTATTCATCCCATCTTCCAGGAGGATATTAAACATATTGAAAACAGGTCCTATTACTGATCCTTGAGAGACTGCAACATGCTTTTTGTGTTGCTTTTTGTCTTTTAACAAGTTATTAATATATGCCAAAATTTACTTCTTGCTCTCTGGTTACTAAGTTTCCTTAACAGTCTTTTGTGAGGGACTTTAACAAAAGCCTTTTGAAAAGCTAAACACATTTATTTCCTTGTTTATCGCTACTTTCTTAACTCTTTCAAACAATTCTGTCATCTTAGAAAGGAAGCATTTACCATGACAGAAACTATGCTACCATTACTGATCCTGGATTATCTGGACATCACTCCTCTAAATGCTTTATTAATGTAACCATTTTCTGATCTATTTTTCCCAGGCACTGAAGTAAGTTGTCAATACATTCTTAGAATTTCCCTTAGCACTATTTAAAAAAATTGGTACAAGGGTGGCAATCCTTCAGTCCTCCAGGGAATAAATTCTTTCTAATGATATATTACATATTTTTGTTGAACTCTTGCATAAGACCCATCCATTTCTGGTGATTTATTGCAAAAAATATAGGAATTATTTATAATAAAACTATTGCCATCTCAGTCCGGTAACTTACTGGACAGATTTCAAACACAAGTATACAGCAAACTGCACCCTTCTAGACACCTGCAGCAAAGATGCCACAAAAAGGTATGGCCCCCAGAGCCCAAACTCTAGTCTCAATCCTCGAGGATGTCCCTCCCAGTCCAGGTTGAAGCACATTGGTGAGGCAATATGTGGGGCAGGGGGGTGCGGGGGGTAACCACTCATGGTCACCGCTCATGCAGTACCTATTCTGCAGATTGATCAGAAGATTTCAACTCTCTGAGGTGGTCAATGTCAGTTTGGCATTTTTCAACACTAAATTAATTGAAAAATATGTTAAATCCCACAAATTAGTTAAAGGAGTATAAGAATTTAAACCCGTCGAACCAGCCCTCCCCTCCCACCAGCTTTTTCACAGAAGGGAAAGAGGCAGAAGAAAAGATCAAGAAGTCCAACTTGCATCACATGCTGCTGCATGGTCCCCTGGACCAGAAGGAGATTGAGGCCTCAGAGAACAAACAAAAAGCAAGGCCTTTAGACTATATAGATGCCAGGAACTCTGCCAGAAAAGTTGGCCCCTCTGTGGTACTTCCCTGCTTCTTTATCTTCCCTATTAATATGGCTCTTGCAAAAGCTATCAACCTACTGGCTTCCCTCCTTGCACAAAGCTTCCTTCTGGGAGGATGGGGGTGAGTTAATGCTGCTTGGATATGTCATACAGAGATGCCATGGAGAGTAGCTGCTTCTCCTGGCTCATTCCTTCCCGATCAATGGAGCACACCACCACAGAGAAGCAACGCAATGACTTCCACAGAATTGAGCAAAAGACAGAAGCATGCTGCTTAGCAACTCCTCCAGTTCTTTGCTTACTGCTTCTACTTTTTGCCATTGGAAATGCAGAGGCACTTCAGATCCAAAGGCAGAGGGAATTTGAAAGCAATGAGTGAAATTCTGTTGCTATTGACTTCAGTGGGGGCAAGATTTCACCCAAGACTCTGATGATCATGCCCATTGCACAGATTCAGATATACATTTAACTCACAATTGAAATACATATAGCAATGGGAGGAGCCAAGATCAACTTTTTTTTTTTTTTTTTTTAAGTGTCCATAATTTTGTTATCCCTGATTTCACAGCAATTTTACAGGAAATTCTGTTTTCAATGAGAGATTTCCAATTTCCCACTTGTAAATTGCTCCACCAAGGAACCCTGTCCATGCTGGCCCCATTGTAACGGAAAACATGTAGTTCCCTCAGTCCTCTAATGTAAACAAGTAGAGGATAGTCCTTCTAAGACTGTAAGCTCTTCAGTGCAGGGACTGACTTTTATTTTGTGTTTATACAGAACTTAGCCCTTCATCCTTATAAGAACTTTTGGCTGTTATTGTAATACAAATAATAAACAGTAATACTTTTTTAGTTTTCATCAAAATCTTAACACATGCTCACTGAGCATGCTCTGGTGCTATTTTACAATCACTTTTAACTTTAGTTTAATTATTTCCCCCAAAACTTATTTTAACTCATCATGCAAAACTAGCTGGGCAAAGATTTAAAATTGAGCTGTTATGAGTTATTGATGAATAAAAACTTAACTTTCTTTTAATTTAAAAAGTAGCCAAAGGGATCTTCCTCAGCATTTTCAGAAATGTTCACCTATGGGTTGAGACTAAACATGGAAAGTTAAAGTCTTCATGAGATTTTTTCAGAAGATTACGAGCTGAGCTGAGCAAATGCTAAAAGAATATTCACAAATAACTGTTCATTTAAAAAATGATTGATTTGTGACCCTTTTTATTTTTTGTTAGCCGGGGATGATCTTTTTTCCTCACAAAGCACCTTAAAGTCTATGATTCTATGATTTATGAAAATAAGCAACCATAGGAAGATCCGCACTGCAAGTGTTTGCGTGAACAACTGGAAACCTTTGATTTCCCCCCTCCTGTTTACAGAAGTTTCATTCTTCCACTCAGGAAGAAGAAACAGCATCTGAGTTGCGTGAGCAACCACTTTCCGCAAAAATAGCAAATAATGAATAGTAAATAAATAAAAACAAGCAGAGCAGATCAATGAGAACTCATAGGCTGAATGAGGCTTGTATGAACAGTACGGTTTGCATTTTTGGAATAATGAACAAAATCTCGAGAAAATTGAAGTCTGCTCACAAATAATTTGCAAGCAAACTAAAGGGCAACATTTAGTGAATAAATTATTCATTACAAATATTGTAGTTTGCCCTCGTATAGTAATAAATGAGAACAAGTGAACAAGTATCTATAATAGCACTCTCTCTGTTTATAGTCTTAATTATTATTTTAAAATATAATCAGTTCTGTCTCCATTTCTATAAACTCCTCCTGAATTACTGAATTACCAGAGGTCAGGTGGGTGGGGGAGGCAGAGGTCCTCAGATAACACAAATGAAGGTGCATTATAGATTGCAAAAGAACCTGGATCACAAGCAATTCCTTACCATTGAGCAGTAGCATCACATCATCTCTGTCGACTTGAATTAAGTTCAAATTCTTTATTGTGAACTCTAGATATGCAATAAAAACTAAAATCAGGAACTGCACCTAACTTCTAAAGTTTCACTCCTCCCAAATGAAGGGAGTAGGAAGACACTCTCTCAGGAAATCTGACAAATCCCCCAAATCCCAAGTTTCCTAAAAAGTTCCCAAGAGACCAAATTCTAAAGGAGACTAGAGGCCAGGCCGTCAGAGAGTCTAAAATGATTTTAGTGGAGCTGCACCCACTTACAACATCTGAAGACCTGATCTCTAAAGAAATTCCCATAGGACCAGCTGAAGAGGAGCAAAGGTAGGGCAATTCCTCTAGAACAACAGTTCTTAATGCGTGGCCCAATTAGCATACAGCTGCAGCCCAGCTGTGTGCTAAAAAAAATTCAAAATTTGCCACTCTGGTCTCAGAGAACAGCAGTGTTAGTCTGTATTCGCAAAAAGAAAAGGAGTACTTGTGGCACCTTAGAGACTAACCAATTTATTTGAGCGTAAGCTTTCGTGAGCTACAGCTCACTTCATCGGATGCATACTGTGGAAAATACATGCATCCGATGAAGTGAGCTGTAGCTCACAAAAGCTTATGCTCAAATAAATTGGTTAGTCTCTAGGATGCCACAAGTACTCCTCCACTCTGGTCTGGCAGGGAGCAGGGCTGGCTGAGGGGAAGACAGCATCTTGCAGCCTACACCAGCGCTCCTGCCAGCAGAGGACTGGTTAGTGCCGCAGTGGGATAGGGGGTGGGGAGTGAGTCTGTGGGTAGGTTTTTTGTGGGGGAGGGCTCTAGGAACTAGGGGTTTGTCCCAGGTTTTAGGTGGGGCTCTGCTCCTGACCCCCTTCTCGGGTCCTGGCTGCCAACCCCTCCAGGTGTTCTGCTCCTGGCTGGTGCTGGGGGTCCTGGCTGCTGCCTGGCTCCCTGCTGCGGTGTGGTTCCCAGCCACTTGCACAGCCTGCACCCAGGACTCCACTCCTGGCCCCATTCTGGGCGGGGATGCTGGGCATAGAGGACTGTGGGCTATATTAGGGTAGGGGCATTGTGGTTCTCAGCCCGCGGCCCGCAATGATAAACGGGTTGAGAACCACTGCTCTAGAAGGAAGAAAAGAGAGATTCTCTGGGGTATCAGGAGAGAGGGAGTCTTCTAGATGCAGAGGAATAGGGGGTTAGGACATCAATTGCCCCATTTTTTGTATAAACCCCTGGGGTCTGATTCAGATCAGTAACTTAGGAGCCAAGGATGTAGTTCTCACAGCTAGAGGTAACAGAGCAGAAAGATGAAAAAAAATGGGTTTGAGCCATTTTGTTTACCTATAACCCTGGCTGCTGCCTCTCGTAAAAGAGGCTGTGGGTTTTTTAGGTAGGCTATGCTCCCAAGTAAGAAGTCCCCCACCATTCTCCTGCATTTCCTCACCTAGAAAACAACAAGAGATACACAGTAAAGACTCTCCTTCCCACTTGGGCCAGTCATGTGGGACAGCATGGAGCTCACCACTGTCCCTGGATCAAAGGACACCTTCACACAGTTTGGATTTAAGTGCAGAGAGGATTCATTAACCACCTATGATTGGGGGACTAGTTTAGTTACGCTTTCAAGGCTCTCACATCCTGACCTTGATGATATGAAATCTGGTACTGACCAGCAGGCACTGATGCTAGGAATGTCCCTACAGTAAAAGAAGCATTTAGAGTCAAAGAGACATCCTTTTGAAAACTGGAAGTCGAATTTCCTGTTCCCAACCCCATTGAAAACCCAGAGTTCACTGACCAGAAATTTGCACATCTCTTGCAAGACCTGAAGATGATCACTCAGTGTCATTTGTCTGAATAAGTTCCTGGGCTGGTTCCATCCCATTACCTGTGCACACTCTGCCAAGGTGTCTCCACATGCCTGCAAGATAAAGAAAGACATGGAGGAGTTCCTGCGGTTACAAAAATTGAAAGCTGATGATTGGTGAGAAAATACAACGGGAATGAAGAATAAGGTCAAAAACTCCTGGGACATGGGAAGTGAAGGGACAGGTCAGGTACCTCTTGCCTCTCGTCACAGGGTAAGATTGAGGATGGTTGAGGATAAGATTCTCGACTGGAACATGGCTGTAGAGAGGAACTTCCACATGGCTGGAGGTCCTGAAAATTCAGGTTCCTTAGCTCTGACTCACCTTGAGTATCTCATGATTATTCCTCTGCATGACCAGCATCAGAGGCACCAGAGCACAGTAGATTTCATTATGGATGACAGGTCCAGGTCTATATTTGTTCACACATTTCAGCATTTTGCCAAAGGCAATGATGGCAGAAATGCGCACTTTTTCTCTCTCCTGTGAATGACACAAAGATGGAGAAACCTCTCAGGGTGAAAGACTCCTGCAATCAACTACTGCAATTATCTCCACACAACATAAGTGACATCATCAGCACTGTCAATTAGCACAATCTTTAGATGAAGAGAGGCAAGGTGCAAAGCAGCATAATCTACATGTCAGTCAGCACTACCACAGCACATGAATCGTCTTATTGTGGTGGACTCGGTCCTATGGCTGTTTGGTGATTTGATTGAGTTTCCGGAGGTCCTTATCACAAAAATCATGACCACCACCAGCACTCTTGCTGGCAGTCTGTGAGAAAGCACCAAGGAATCAACAGAAAGGAAAGAGTATGTACAACAAGGGAAGATGAGGAAAGAAAGGTAAGGGATGAGGAAGGCATGAAAGGAAAAAGATTAAAAAAGAATATGGGCGAAGGAGGGAGATAACACCAAAATACTAAAAGAAAGGGGGAATAAGAGGATGGAGGAAAAGAAGGGATTATTAACCAATACTGAAAAATTAGCTTGAAAAAACATACACCAAAATATACATAAAGAAAGAAAAAATTGCTGTGAATGAATGGAAAATGAAAAGAGAGCAACACAAAAGCAAGCAAGACCGATTAGTAACAAGATCTTTTATTCAATCCACAACACTCTGCCTTGTACCTGAAGTTCTGCTAGATCAGTGATGTGTTGGTAGAATTCTGTGGCCTGCTCAATACATATTACCTGGGTTGCTGGGCTCTATTTATGGCCCTGCAAACAGATATAACTAGGGGTAATGAGATGAAAGGACAATGTAGGTTGGTCCAACTGGAAACATATCCTATCATTGAGGGTCTTTTGGACTGTGGAGGTTTCCCAAGGGAAATGGTGGAAATCTGTGTGTTTTAATTATTTAAAAAATTAGATTAGAGAAAGCTCTGAAGGAACAAATGTCTATTTGCTCTCTCAGATATGGAAGTGACTTAATAGGCCTTTTCTATGCCCTGTCTGTAGGATTCTCAGCATTACTGCACTGTCTGCTGTGCCTTGCTTGTTGATTATTTGTATTCTGAAGAATTTCTGACTCTTCATCATTTGTGCTTTGTGAAAGTGCTCATCATATGAAAGGCGGGAACAGCACAGGCCCATATACTCAAAGCGAACTAAACAAGCAAACACGTATTGGAGGCTCTGTGCCTTCAGCCACTCCATTCACTGTATTCTCTGTAACTACCACACTCCTTTGCATAATACTGTGCACACATGTGGAGTCATTCAGGGTATTGCCTTACATCAGTAATTAGCTGCCAAAGAGGCCGGACGATATAGCAGAATGCAACCTTGACCTCTTCCCCTTCCATGTAGTAAATGATATTTCGTAGGGCTTTCACGGCCTGCTCTGCAATCCTCTCCTCTTTCTCTTTTAAGAACTCCCGGAGGACTGGAAAGGTGATTTCTGAGATGTGTCACCTGCACAGAAGCAGCAGCCTGTTAAAAGCTACAAGAACTGGTAGAATAGGATTAGTCAAACTAAAAATGCAATTCATTTAGTCTTTGGGGGCAGAGGGATTAATTAGTAATTTGTAAACTATTTCTCATTTTGGAAGATGCAAATGTAACAAATGTAAGTATTCCCTGGATTGTCTGAACAAATAATTTTCAGACTACGAGTGGCTTATCCACAGTTTGCCAACTGCCTGCTCCAGGTATCCATAACTCAGGATTTGTGATTGGTCACAAAGTACAGTTTCTGCTGCCTGATTGATGACTCAACCTATTTAACTGGAGATCAACAAAAGGTGAGTATCCAATCCTGAATAACAAACTTCCATTACAAGTTTGTGACACTTTAAGGATTTATGAATATTTCCATACTGGCAGTCATCATAATATTCACAAATAACCAATTGTGTGACACTATGAATTCCAGTTAACCAGGGTAGAGTGGGTTATTCACTAAAAAATTAATAAACATGGCTTTTCATTATGCAATCAACTCTAAAAATTACCAGTGACAGAACAATGTACTATACAATGTCTTATTTTATGTTTATTATATCCCTTTTCTAATGTGTGTTTTACAATGAAAGGATAATTTTTTCCTCATTCCAGGACTGCATTGTCACCTACGGGAACTCATTTAAGTGTTACCTCCCAAGCCACGATCAAGTCCAGTAATTTTATTTCTTCTTGGTTTGGTTTTACTCTGTTTCAGTGACACCTTTGTTCTCACATAATTGCTCTGCATTCGGTTCTGAGTTACCATCTTTTCTAGTGTATTTTTCTGGGGTTTGTTTTATAATTGAATAATATCTCTCTCACCTTCCCTGTATGGAGAGCTAAATTACTAATTCCTCTGAGTCCCAGCAGCCTCATGATGGGATTTGGCTCTTGGATCCATTTTTTCAGTGGGGCCAAGACGTCGAGTTCCAGACTTCGGGCCACAGAACGGTGCCAGAGCAGCTACAAGCAACACAAAGTGAGACACAGCCAATTAACAACAGGCTTTCCAGTTCTATTCTCTGGGTAGATATCATCTTTTTCCTGAGAAATAAACTTTGTCATGTCGAGAAAACTCACACCTCACCCAGAGGTTTAAGCCAGCCATTTTGAGCTCTGGGTTAAACAGCTGTTCTCAAGATCAGACTCATGTTTAGATTTGAAGGGAAATCTCCCTTACTGAAATGGTAGAAGTGATGGATTTCACTGAATTAGATTAGGGGTCATTTCATAGAATATCGGGTTGGAAGGGACCTCAGGAGGTCATCTAGTCCAACCCCCTGCTCAAAGCAGGACCAAGTCCCCCAATTTTTGCCCCAGATCCCTAAATGGCCCCCTAAAGGATTGAACTCACAACCCTCGGTTTAGCAGGCCAATGCTCAAACCGCTGAGCTATCCCTCCCCCCGGGGGTTAATAGAGATGACCCCCAAGAACTGAAAAGTGAAAACCACAGATAAAATGTACCATTTAATATGGTCCAAGAGAGCTAGAACCATCTCCTAGGTGATCTGTCTCCATCCCAGCAATACTTGCTGTTGAAATCTTCTACTGCATATGCCCCATTCACTTTTGGAATAGGCCTGGAGCAAGATGTTCTCTAGAACTCCAGCTCTGCAAACAGCTAAAGAAACTTACCTGAGCATAGAAGGCCCTGGACATAATTTTATCATGCTCATTCTCACTGTTGAGCAGCGGGATCAGCTTGTTAAAAATCCTGTGCAGATGAAGAGGCTTGAAATGCTTCACCATGGCACTGCAACAGGACACAAACATACCTGTGTGTTATCAGGTGAAAAATGAATTGTGTAGCAAGTTCCTGGAGCAAAGACCCCAACTGGTTCCAGGCTGATGAATGAGTGGCTTTTGTCTCTTACCTTGTGATCTCCATTATTCCACAATAGTAGTCACTGGGGCTGGACAGCAGGTCCCACCCTCTGTGTTCCTCCACATAGTCTAACACCTCAAAGTAACCAGCGCCTGAGAGCATGGTCTTCACAGCCTCCAGAGCACAGCTAGATTAAAAACAATGCCAGTGTTACTGAGCGACGTCAGCGCCACTCCTAGTAACTACGTGAGTCTATAGAAACCCCAAGACACAGATACTGTATTATAACATAACATAACCTGCATCCTCAGCACCCTGTGTAATATTAACAAGAGAGTGTAGAGACCAGAAATGGGAAGGGGGAGCTGAGTGATTATTTAATCTAGGTGTGAATATTGAAGTAATGGGAGAAGGACTCTGGGAGCCATTTCTTCTCATTTCTGCTCAGATATTGCACTTAGTTTCTGTATGCATGATACAAAGACTATCCATTTTGTCCATTCTTTGTAAGTAAGGGAGCCCTGCTGACTGCATGGAAATGTAACACACAGTGAGATAAACCACACACGCTCAACAGTACAGAAATACTATAGGAGTTACAACCAGACTAATAAGAACCTTGACTTTTCAGTAATTACCTGGAAGGATCGAATGCCTTGGGCCTGTGCCCCTGGCCACACTCTTTCCTGTAGACCACCATGTTCTCTAATGGGTTCTGCTCGATGACTCGCTGGACATGACTAAGCACTGCCAATAAGAGGCGGGGGTAAAGTTCCTGCACTGCATCTCTGCAGCCAGGGACCGAGAGCATCTCACACAGTGCACACGTTACCTGAAGAGGGTAAAAGAAGATTCTGTTACTCTTTTTTCTTAGAAAGAAATGCAAAGGGTGTTAAATTGACTCCCCAGGATACTCAGACACAAAGCTCATCTAAGTTCTCAAGGCTTTAAGGAAAGGGAGGGCCAGTATAAATCTGTGATCAAATGAGGAATTTTCCAGGCCCTGAGGGGACAGCAGAGTGTCCCCCCTTCCCTACAGGGCAGTCCCCCTTATATACAGATGCTCCCCAGGTTACGCAAACCCAAGCTTACGGAAAAACTTCTATAAGCTAGAAATAGGAGGGTTTTTTGTTTGTTTTTTTTTTGTGTAATGGCTGGAGATACATTTCCAACTTACGCAAATTTTGACTTATGCAAGGCGTTCTGAAACAGAACGCTTGCGTAAGTTGGGGAGCGTCTGTAGTACTAAAAAGAAAACATCCCTAAAGGCTTTGCTTTTCCAGTTCTATCTTTTGCTGTCAAAAAAAAACAACAGCCTATGAAATGCCCAGATACTCACAGCAACAGGCTGGAGGGAGGTCTCATCATCAGAGATACTGCTATTGACTTTTTGGACTGGTTTCTCCTCCAGGATTGTTATCAGCAGCTGAAGAACATTGAGGGTGGTTTCTCTTCTGGTGCCCAGGAACCTCCATATCTCAGTTGTGTTGCTACAAATTTAGAGGCCCAATTAAAATAATACTTTGTACTTCTATAACAACTTCCATTCAAAGATCTCAGAGGGCTGCAGTGAAACAAGCCTCACAACACCTATGTGCAGTACTGTGAGTAAATATAATTATTCCCATTTTACAGATGAAGAAACCGAGTCTCAGAGCTATAAAGTGATTTGCTCATGGTCAAACAATGAGACACTGACAGCTGGGTAAAGAACCCAGGGGTCTCATGCTTAGCTCTGTGCTCAGGCCACTAGATATGATGCATCCCTCATGAATGGACCTTCTACGTGGATCAAACCTATACTGCTATAACTCGTCTCCCTATCCAAATACATTGATGATGTCTTGAGTAGAATCATACCCGTGGACAGAGAGCAGAGAAGTAAGAAACAATGTGTCCTGGGAAAGGAAAAAACAAGGAAGAAGGGATTCCCCACAAATCGTATAGACATGACACTAGTTCCATTTGCCACAACTGTGTGTTATTACACCAGGAAAGTAAGCTGTCTCATGGTTTCCAGTAAAGCCAGCCATGTCGTTTCCATACAGTCAACAGCCACTATCACACAGTATAGATTTTAACACATCAAATAATTAATCACAACTAGAACTGGTCAAAAACTTTTTAAAAATTGACCGAATTTGCTGTTAAAATTTCAACTTTTGCCAAATAGAAGATGAATTTTTTTGTGAAAATTATATCCTATTTTTCAACTAGCTCTAATCACAACCCAGTGCAATGGGGAGCGTAACATGAAATCCAAGTGCTTAAAATGCTGAAACAAAGAGAAAGAAGGAACATACATTTGGAGACTCAACACAGAAAGAGCACTGGCAAGCTTTCTACCTGTCCCATGGGAGAGCGTGGTCCAACAGGATAGGCACCACTTTCTTGGTGTTGTTTCCAGCCAAGAAGCACACTGCCCTCAACATTTCCTGCCTCGTAATGGGTTCATGGATGAGGCTGAGGCGCTGGTAAATGCCAGTCAGAGTGTCATCTACCTGCAGGAAAAGCAGAGTTAAAGGTTTTTTCCTATATTTGGGTGTATGTGTTTGTATGTTTGGGATGGAGGATCTTCTTCTTTATCCCCCTTGTGGTGAGTTTAAATCTCAGTGATCATCACTCAGCAATAGGATGAGTTCCCCTCTCCAAAGAAGACACCTTCCTAAAGAACAAAACAGGTCAATTTCTGGAGTGCAGGGGACTCCCAGAGAAACAGCAGATAGGTAAATATATTCCCAGACAAAACCCTTTTTTGGGGCAGGCAGAGTTACAGCTGGAATTTTTCTACTTACCTACCTACCCACACACACACATACACACTTACTTATGTCTTTTATACAAATAATTTATATATATATATATATACATACACACACACACACACACATATAAATGTATGTGTACACACACACACACACACACACACACACCTATCTATATATACATACACCTACCCTCCCCAAAACAGCAAACATATTTCTGATACATGGCTTATTTCAGATTAAGACAAAACAACAATCAGTTGAGGAAATCTAAAGTCTTGTTGGGAGAGAGGACAATATGACCCCTCTATAACATTTTGCATCTTGAACTAACTCTCATTCCATAGGAAGCTGCACCTCCCCACAGGCTACAGACATCCCCTTTACAATTAAAGCTGCAGGAATTGGAATAAAGAAAGATAATATTTCCTTTCACTTACACACACATATGCCATAGACAATAAGAATCTCATTAGAAGGTTGTGGTTCATGAAAAAAATATTTTGAAAGTCATGGAATTGAACAAGTTAAGGATTCACAAATCACCTTAACTATAACCCTACATTTCCAACTAATGAATATAGTATAACTACTGCAAACTCTTTAGAAACACTATAGAAACCCTTTTCACAACAGTGAATGACAATGGAAGTGCCTCTCTTCTCTTCTCTGTGGGGATGTCGTAAGGCCTCAGCCTGGTTGTTTAATATTTCTGTAGTGTGGATAGCATACAGTGTGTATCAGCTTTCCTCACTCCTTTACTACCTTTACTCTACTTTCAGGTGTAACTTTCTCTCTCTCTCTCTCTCTCCTCTGTCCTCAGAAGCTCATTCAGTGTCTTGGGAGACATCAATTGGAGACTCATTTTGTCTCCCTTCTCCCGAGCAGTGTTATGTGTTCACACAAGTTCTCCCCAGTATCATGGGTGGGTGCTGTGTCCCTGCTGCAAAGTTTGCCACCCCTCAGTCCAATGTTATTCAGTTTATTGAATTTACCAGTTCAACAAAACCTAGCACGAAGTTTATAAACTCCATAATCCTCAAATAGTTCTCAGAGGTGTAACTATTCACAGCTAATAACTCCACAATTAAAAATACTACCTTCTAATATCAGTCTATGCACCAGATTTCACTGAGAACAAGAGACTAAATTGGAGTCTGTGGATCAAGTTGTCAGATACAACATTTCAAGAAAAGCAAAGTCAGAACACCTGCTAAAAGCAGAAAAAATCTAGAAAGGCTTCAAAATTGGGTTTATAATAGAAGCTACTTTATGGGCTTAACCATAGAGTCATTATTGTGTCTCCATAAGACACCCCAATCTACACTTTTAACTAGACTATGAGGGAATGGCAGCACCTCAGCAAAAACAACATCTGCACCCAGATTCTGGTTTCCCCAAAAGAGGAGCCATTTCACAGCTTTCTTACAAAGTGCATTGGAACTAAGTCAATGGACAATTTCAGCACAGGGAGCTGGCAGCCGCACCTCCTGGCTCCAGAACAGGGAATTCTAACAGCGGCCCCTCTCAGCATCGCCTACCTTCTCCAGGTCAGCTCCCCGTTCTTCCAGAATCGCACTGAGCAGTTCTCCAGCTGCCCGAGATATTTTCTCCCTGGGATCTGTCAAACCATCAAGTGCTGTCAGAACCAGGTTTGTTAGCTGAAGTGGGGTAAAATATTCTGCAAAAGCCTAAAACAAACAGAAAAGAGCATGTCATGCTGACACAGTTCCTGCTGTCACCAGAGCTGGAGCGACCAACTAACAGGCAAAATTCAGTTTTGAATGGAAGAAGAGATGGGGACACTATGCTTGGGACCTAGGAAATCACATGAACTGTGGGGATATTTGAATGTTTATCCAACATCCCTCAAAGATCCTTTTTCATATTTTAGATGCTTTGAAATTTTTAATTGAAAATATCTTGGTATATAAGTGTTTCAGCAATAATATTAAGTAGCAGCCTTAATTAAAGGCAACAAAACTGTTTGTACATTAAGTCCCATGTTCTCAAAAAAAGTTGGGGGGGCAAAGGTAGAGTGTAGGTGTTTTACAAAGTCCCCATCACTTAACATCCTACGTTTCCCAAATGCTTCAGCGATCCTACTTAGGAACTCCAAAGATCCTGCCTCTTCCCTACCTCTTCTTGCTCTGCATAGATACTATGGGGCCACACAGATTTTATAAAGCATGCATCTCTTTACCAAAGTTTCTGTAAATATATCTTTCTGAAATATTTTAAATGAGCATATGCGCTAGATTTTTAACTGAATGTACAATATAAATCAATCAAGCTTTTTTCTATCTCTGGTTGAGAAACCCCACAAAAGTTAGACACTGAGTAAACCATCTCAAAAAATTTCAAAGAATTCTACTACACACTGTCAAAATATGCACAGTATATGGTCCTAATCACCTTGTTATCCAAGTGCTTTACAAACATTATGAACTTATCCTCACAGCACTGCTATGAAGTAGGGAGGTATTGTATCCATTTTACAGATAAGGAATCAAAAGACAATGAAGGGACATGCCCAGACTATCAGAGAAATTCCATAGCAGAGCTGGGAACTGAACCTGGCTCTCCTGAGGTCTAGTCCAAAGACTTAACCACAAGACCATCCTTTCTCCTCATCTTTACTCTGAAAATATTCACTTTTTTTTTATGAAAATAATCTTTCTGTTAAAGTTACAAAGAATGTGAAAACAGGGGTTATAATTAGATCTAGTTGGGAAATGAGGTTTCCTCACACACACAGAAAATTTAAGCTGTTGAAAAATAAAAAAACTGAAAAATTTTGGCCAAAAATTTCAATTAGGAAAGGTTGAACCATTTCATTCTGACATTTCCAATCAAAACAAAATGGTTCAACGTTTACTAATCAAAACATTTCATTTTGGTTTGACATTAAATATACCTTTCCGTGCTGCACTGGTTCCCCATCAAGTTGTAGTTCACAAGCCTCATGACTGGATTCTCCCTCCGTGGACAGGTCTCCCTGGCCAGATTACATCTGTCAATATTCAGTGCCATCTCTTTTCTTGCTAATCCCCTGTGGTGTGCAATAGGAGTCTTCTCGCCACATGCATCATGGGAGTAGGTTGGCTATTGACACATCCCCAGAATACTGGACATTACATTACTTCCAGGAATGGTGTGGGCCCAACTACACTGGCGTGACCTTATGTCACACTGCACAGAGTATGCCATTTTGAAGAGATCCCTACCTCTACCAGGCATGACTTTACACGAGATATGCGTGTGAGGTCACCCGGCAAGGGCAAGACAGTGTGCTCTTCAAAATTGCATCTTCCATGTGTCACATCAGACAAACACGTCTGGTTTTGTCTCAGTACTGCATGGGGAACAAACCATAGAAAAACAGAACTGTCCAGCTTTAAGCCAGACAAATGGCCTGCCTACATGGGAGATGTAGTCCAGCAGGGGATCACAGCATATAGAGGAGAATTGGGGCATGAGGAACCTGAACTACAACTCCAATAAGGCATTTCCAAATCCAACTTTTTGGTTTTCAGCCAAAAGGTTTTTTGTTTGGGGCATTTTGTTTTCTGATGAAAATTCCAAGTTTTCTGAGGAAACCAGACATTTGTCATACACAAAAACATTGTTTGGTCAAAACCCCAGTTTTTCAGTTGATTAAGAGTATCAATGGAAAAATTTTGAATATCTACACTCATACTATAACTGTTATTGAGCAGCTCCAAAATCAGGTTAATTTTTCATTACCTGTAACTCAAAAAAACACTTTGGCCAATTTTTTTCAAAAGAATAAGCTTCCTTGGCCTTTACAGTAAATGCAAAATTAGGACAAATCAATTTTCCTAGCCAAAGTTGAAGGGGAGTTCAAATAGGGTTTATAAGGATATGTGGCTGCATCCTTCACTGTGGAGCTGTGATCAATGGCTCTCTAATACTCACATAGGGAAACACCGTTCATTATTCAGTGCATTGAGTGTAATTACCTTAGCGATTTGTGAGGTGTTATTGTAGAACACAGAGGGACTGTACGTTCCCAGATTTTTTAGCGTGTCTACCTTCTCCACTCCATGTCCCTTCTCAAGCTCTGGAACAGATACACTCATTTGTGTCATTTGTCATTTCTCACTTGGGTGACATTTCTTTCCGTACTTGTTAATGTTCTGAATGTGTCCATGATGCTAGCTAGAGGCAAGTCTACAGTTGGTTCAAAACTCAGTAGAATAGCTGGTGATGGATATAACACAACCATTGCCCTTGTGTACAGTGTATGAGCACCATTCACTGGATTCATAGCAGCCTGTGAATCAATATTTAATCTGGAAAATGGACTTCACTCTGGGCTATTCTTTCCTTTAACATGATGTTTTCCTTTTGAAACAGAGCTTCCCACCCTTAAGGAAAATTAAACCAATCATGGCCTCCCTCAGCCCCATCTCATACTGCTAAATGCCTCCCCAAAATGAGCAGTTACTTAGAGTAAACTGAGATCTTCAAAATATACTTCCTTACATACATTCAGCAGTGGAAAATAGTTAATGTTGACACACAAAATATCATTATTGACACCTCAGTTAGCACCCATTGAAATGAATGGCTCAGTTCACACCTCAGAGATATTGTTTCAGGCTCTCTGCAAGCTCAGGTATACACCTCTACATTGGTTATACTTGGGTCATATTGTCAAGGTTTTCTTTTCAAACCATAATGGCCAGTGATTTTTTTTAAATGAAAGCAGAGATTTTGGAGAATGATTAAGAGGTTCGTCCACACTTTCTTCCTATCCCACAGCTACTCCTTCAAGCCCTCCCAGGGCGAGGTACTCCTCAGTTTGAGGAATACGACCGTAATACTAGATACTTGTTATAAACAACTGTATATACTGTATTTAATTTCTCTGTGTACTTTGCTCCTTCTCTTGGATTTCCCTTCCCTTATCCCTCTACCCCCCTCAGGGAAACATGCATTTATTTAGTGATACTCCCTGGCACAATAGTTCTGTTCCAGCACTGATAAGCTCATCAAGGCATCATCATGTCTCTGTACTCCGTGCAAGGCACTGCAGGCTCAACAGGAAACATATTCTAAATAATAAATAAATAAATAGCAGCAGCTGTAGCCCACTTCACTACTTTCCTGATGATGCAGTGCCGTGCTATAGAATAACAGAAATTATTACTTTAGGACTTTGAAACTAATCTGTTGGTAATAATAAGAAAGGTTTGTAAGTGTTAGCTGCAAGGAGGAAGTTTTCAGTTTCCAGTGATGTAGAAAAAGGGTGTTTACTTACGCTTTTTAAGTAGCTGGATACAATACAAGTTGTATACTGCCCGGGCTGCCAAGAAGCAGATGTTGTCCACCTGGTCATGGCATCGAAGGGCAAGCAGCCTAACAAGGCGACCCAGTCTGCTGAATTCAATTGATGTCTAATTAAAAAGAGAAGAAGCCAATTAACAATAGATATAACAGGGTGTGTGATCATCAGGCAATATATGGGCACACCTGGGCCTTGTGCCTGTTAACATGCTTATGATGGGTGTGTGTAGATTGGTTGTCGAGCACACACCCTGGAGCACATTATCATGCTTATAAAACTGTGTATCTTTAAACACTGAAAATGTTTATGGCATTTAAATATGCCAACAAAAGCCGCATAATCAAACAGTATATCCAATAATAAAGAGTCATCATCAACACAAAGGTAAAGGGCCTGATTCTCTGCTTCCCTGCGCCTCGTCTTTAATCATTTACACCTGGGCAAACAAGGGCCAAAATACTATTATTCTGACTATGTACAATTTTACATGTTGGGGAACTGCACTGGTGTTAGCAAGGTGAAAATTTCAGAGAAAAGAGGCCAGTGTAGACAAACTCTAAGAATGCAGTGTGAGCCTTGAAGATTTCCCAGTTTGTTTCTGAAGAGCCTTTGGGTGATTTGACACACTTCACCAATGCAACACAGATGATTTCAGTGCTGTCTCTCTTAACATACACTGCATGAGACTGGAATCAGGCCCAGAGGCTGGGGTGATCCTGTCATAGGGTTAGTTAGAGATGTATTGTTTTTATTTAATAAGAATTAATTCTGAATAATGTTTATTGTGTGTTTTAAGTATTTCCCTCCTAACACAATATGTTGCTTCAGCTATAGTCTCAAATTAGCCAATTGTAGTTAAAAATAAAATAGTTTGAAAGCCTGAATATTTGAAGTTAAAGTTCTTCACGCAGTCTTCACTGTGATCTAAATCTGCTACTCACCACCCACCTAATGGAGATAGTGGTGTATTAGAAGCACCGCCTATGATGACAAAGGGCCAGAGCCACAGGTGCACTAGAGTAGTACTTCGCACACCTGAGGGGAAGAGCAAAGGGTGTTTTCTTTCCTTCCCCAATGATACTCAAGAATTCTAGGGATTGGGTTGGTCCCCAGCACAACTTTGAACAGCCTCAGGATTGCTCTAAGTGGGGCTCTTACACCAGTACGGATTGATGGAGCATAGAATGCTCCTACCACACCACTTTTGCTGGGGCATAAAAACAGCACTGTGAGGGAGTGGCTTATAGCCAGCTTCAAGAGCCTGACAGCTCTCCTGAATTCCCTCATGCCAGAGGAATCTCCAGCTGCCCACTTAGGGAAGCTTTAAATCCCCTTTGCACAATTGGCATAGTACAAGGGACCAATAACTTCAGAAACTGTTCACATCATTGACTACAAGTGAAAATGTAATACATTCCCAATGGGTACCTCAAGGATTGTGGTTCTCTGGTACCTGCAGAGAATCTGTGTAGCATGCACAGGGTCAAAGTATATGTCAGGCCTGTTTCTAGATGGAACCATGTGGGGAGGATGGAGAAGGTACACAGAATAGGATTTCTACTCTATATGTTGAGGGTGAGTGAAGAAAATTGGGTTCTCAGGTTCACAGTGGAATGGAAGATCAAGAAGAAGGTTTCTTTACTGTAAATAGGTGAGAGATGTTGGTGTGTTTCTCCATGAATGGTTAGGTGAACTAAAAAATGGCCAAGCTGATATGAGGTTCGTAGTAGTTGGTTTATGAATGGCAACCACCCATTTCAAAAGACGATGGCGTAAGTGCTAAAGCCATTATGTTACTATGTGTCATGCAGCAGCATCGCGAGTGGCTAAAAAGTCAGATTCTCAAGCAACAGTTGATATTGAAAATGTTCTAGTCCCTTTTGCAAATACTTTTGAACCTGAGCCTAGGCTGGCTTAGTGGCCTTTGAGCATCCACAGGTTCCTTATACAGGCAATCCTTTGGAATGCATCCAACATCCATCTGGTGCAGATGACCAAATCCATAGAAAGAAAAGGAGTACTTGTGGCACCTTACTCTGAAACAAATCCATAGAGATATCTGTGTTTGAGAATAGGGATTAGACTTGGTCATTTTTTTCCTGAAGTACATCAGCATCAGGAACTTTGGTTTTCCACTTGATATTTAGAATATGGTGAAGACAGCAAACATGGACGGTATTTAGCCTTCTCTCATGCCTGCTGCGGCTGGTTCAGGTCTTGCCACCATACAGCAGTATGCTCAAAATGCACATATGGGAATCCGTATCTTGGTGTTCAGTGTCTGTTTCCTGTCACCCCACCCACGCTTGGTTAGTAGGCTGAATGTGGTGACTGCCTTTCAGATGTGAGCATTAAACTCACCATCTAGAGATAAGTTATCCAATACAATTGATTGTAGAGAGCAGAACTTGTGCACAACTTCAAGCTAGGTACTACTATTAAAAGTTCTGGTGGAGTCAACACACCTTGTGCCATAACCGTTGTCTTCTTTAGACTGATGCTTACTCCAAATTCCTCACAAGCTAGCGCAAAGTTTTGGGAAAGTTGCTGGAGTTCCTCTTCACTGTGCATGACAAGAACTGCATTATCAGTGAAAAGAAGTTCTCTTAGCAGATGTCTGACTTTGCTTTTTCCTCTTAGACATGCAATGTTGAAGAGTTTTCCATCTGACTTTGCATGAAAACATACACCCATGGTGCTAAATGAGAAAGTATGACAAAGCAGCAGAGAGAGGAATATACCAAAGAGCGTTGGTGAAAAACACATCCCAGTTTGATCCACCAGCAGATTTCAAAATTGTCAGATTGATCACCATCACACTGGACTTTAGCCTTCATGGAAGTACTGAAAAGTACTGAGGAGGATCGGGGGGCAACCAATATCTCTAATAGTTGGAAGTGGCCCTTTCTTCTGACCAGATTAAAATCCTTTGTAAGATCAATGAAATCCACTGAGAGGTTTTTCTTGTTCTTGACACTTTTCTTGCAATTGCCTTAATGAGACAACCATGTCAATAGTGGATCTACCAGATGGAAGCTGCACTGACTCTCTGGATGTACATGACTCTGGATATAAGTGGCTTCTAGGCTGGCGATTACTACACGTGGACCCAAACCAAAAATCACCACCCTGTAAACTTTGGGAAAGTTCAGATTCAAACTTTGCAGCTCAGATCCATCTTTATTATACACAGAATAAGAGATGAGGTTTTATGGTTACTATTGGAAATGTAGAGGAGATATATTTTGGAGTGAAGTGGGGAGTTTGTGGCTAGACAGAGATGGGTGTTGATACTGGGCCATATTTAAAGTTGTTTACAGAAACTTGTCTCAAACTTTTCATATAACTATGATGTTATATTTAATTAAATTATACTTACTTATAATGTTACCTGTATAGTGAAGTTTTTTGTCTAGCAATTTAGAAACATTTAAAACCATTGATATGTATTTCTTGTTACTGAAGCACCATACAGTACACTTAAGGAATACTAATATATTTTGGGGTAGGATTATACCAGGCAACAACCAGCTTTGTGGGTGATTAAATTCCATAGTAAAGCTGGTGCAACAACTGCCAAAAATATTATTGCAAGACAAAAAGATTCAACAAAAAACAGCCTAAACAGGAGAGGAAATAACTCTTTCTTGCCCTGAGAAGTTTTGAAAGACTGGTGCTGTTTGCATTGAATTTACATTGCCATCACTTTGGGGAATGGACTGAAGTGAATAACTTCTCCAGGGAGAAGTTTGAGCAGACACTGTGCCAGTAAGGATTTCAGGGTAATTTGTCAGAAAAATAAGATCTGTCAGAACTTGAGTCCACTGAAATCACTGGCAAAGCTCCTCCTGACTTCAATGGGTGCAGTATCAGGTCCTGCATTTTGTTTGTTTGTTCTGTGAGTAGTAGGCTGCTTATTTGGGCAAGTGTATGTGCTGAAGTGTATGTTCTGTATTGAGTCAGGTCAGCACAGGTGAAGGGTTACTCACGTCAAAATTGGGAAGCTTGGCCACACATCTTAGGATCCGGGCACTGCACCACATTGCTCGTTCCCGCTCATGATCCTTTCTGGAGATTAGCCAGGGCTCGAGGTACTGTAGGAAAAAATGGAGATCACTGCTCACAAAAAAGGAAAACTCCTAAAAGATTGTGGCCCAAATCTACCAGTAGCTGCTGTAAACTGGGGTAGCACCACTGACTTCAGAGAAACTACTCTGATTTACAGCAGCTGAGGGTGTGTGGGGTCCTTTGTCTGATGGTAGGTCAGATAAAAAATGTAGCATTCTCCTCTATATGTAAATAAAGTTTATGGGTTTTCTGAAAGAGGGTTATCTTCTGTGTTTTCCAGAAATCCATCCTATAATAGTTCCACTAAGAAGGAAAACTGACATCATAATCTGCTCTGCCAAAGCGTGGCTCCTTCCTTTGCTCTGAATCTTAGTTGGTGGATTCAGAATTTGATAGGGTATAAAATGAAGTCTATTTTTATCTCTGGAAATGAGGGTAACACCACATAGGTAACACCACATATCCTGCCCGACTTTTCTAGAGAGAGTAAGATTTGGGAGGCAGGGAGGACGTCTCTCCTGCCTACAAGTCAACACCTGGGGGAAAGAGCTTCAGAGAGAGAAGAGAAGGGAAGTATATTTCTCAGTTGTTATAAAAGTGTTGACATTTCTTTTACATACATTAGATTGTTCTAACACCCTGATATGGGTGCTCTCGCACCCCCTGGCTTGAAGTGGTTTTTATTATGGACAGGGTTTACAGTTTGGTTCAATGGCTCTCAGCACCCCCATGATACAAATTATTCCAGCACCCCTGCACCTTGAACATATACTCTCTGAAAAGAGAAGAGTATGGGAGACTCTTTAGCAGGGCTAAATTAAGGCATAAACATTATGGCCCAGATTTTTAAAGGTAATTGGGCATTGCTGCAAACAGCATTGCAATGTGTAACTGATTTAGGAGCCTATGTATCAAAAGGGATTTAGGCACATAGGAGCCAAAATTTCATTGGCCTTCTAAGTGCCTAAATCACTTCTGAAAATGAGATGCTTAAATACAGTTAAAAATGTGGACCTATAGGCTTGTGCCCAGGACCCCAACTCTTGGAGTTGTCTCATGAGAGCAGAAGCTCAGCTTTCATGATTGTTAAGAAAAGTTTGAAAACATGACCTGAGCATAGTGTTGTAGAGATGCCCACCTGAGTCTGCAAAGAGCCTGAAACAACAGCTCTCAGAGTTGTGAACTGCTCCGTGCATCTCAATGGATTATAAACTCCAAGGGAACACAAACCATCCTGCCAAAACAGCCCAGCAAAGTACTCTATGTATGGCGGAAAGAGAAGAGTGGGCCCAAATCACCCACCTAACCAGATATACTCTGGCTGCTGGGTTAAGTACTGGGAAGGCCCTTGCTGCCATCCCTGTCTCTCTGGGATTAAGAGCACTCCCCCCCACCCCCGCTTCTCTCAAGGGTAGTGGGGCTCTGGTGCTGATCCTGAGGGTTACAGGGGTCCCATATGACTGTCCCTGCCTCTTTGGGAGAGGAGAGGGAACTCCTTGCCACTGCCACTCCCTTTGATGTGGAGTAGGGTCAAGATGCTGGGGCATAGAGCTCCCATGTTGTGGTGTGCCTAGAGCCCCAGACTGTCTTAATTCAGCCCTGAACTCAGATGGGACAGTCGAACCATGATTGTTTAATCTCTCCTCTATAACTCTCTTTTCCTCTTGCATGCCCCACTACTGCTTACCTCCAAAATCTTCTGGACCTCCACAGGACATTCAAATACCAAACCCTCAAGCATTCCTCTCAAGGCATCTATAGTTTCTTTGTACAGAGACTAGGAGAGGAGGTAGTACAATAGTCAGTGTCATACAATCTGACATTCTACAGGCAACGTGAGGTGTAGGAATACTTCTTTAGAGAGATAGGATGAGTTTCTTAGTCTCTCTATGCTTCAGTTCCCTATCTGTAAAATAGGGATAATAGCATTTCCCTACGTTACAGGGGTGTTGTGGGGATAAAACATTAAAAATTGTGTGGTGTTCGGACACCTGGTAATGAGGGCCATATAAGCACCTATGATACACAGGGAAAGTTTTCTGACCCCATAAATAGGAATAATTATTTCTCTGCTTCAGATATATGAACTCACTATTATTTTCTGGCAAACTGCCTTAAATTCCTTCTAAGAACAAGATGTGAAATGAGTTTGCCATTCTCAGCACAGATTCTGATACAAAGCCAGATGAACAACAGCAAAATTGCTACATACGCACTGGGCTACATATGCACCAACTCACCATTTAAATATGAAATTGTGTCATCGGGATAATAATATTTTTTTCCCTGTACTGCTTCCCTAGCTAAGAAAAGACCCCCTATTATTATGATATTAGAACAGTTCTCTGCTAAAGAACCAAAACCCTGGTAAATTTGGAACTGTGCGATTCCATTATTTCCCTTTAGCTCTATTAGTGGTGAAGTAATTTGAGACTAAGCAGAATAGATGCATCCTTAGCACACAGACCCAGGTGTGCATAAACTGACTGATGATTGCACACCTTGCCATGTGTTCTCTCTTACTAACAGGTTTTGTCTCTTTTTAATTAGACATCAGTTGAATTCCACTGACTGGGTTGCCTAGTTAGACTACTTGCTCTTCATTGCCATGATCCAGCAGACAACATCTGCTTCTTGGCATCCAGGCTCGTATTCAACTTGCAATATTATTCTGCTGGTCAAAAAGTGTAAGTAGGATTCACCATTTTGTCTCTAAATCTCACAATGAAACTCTCTTATCAGGCCCGATATGTCACCATCCCCAGGAGGACTGCTGAATTTAAGACACCTGGGGCTTCTCTTATGTCTGTATTTTTTTAAAGGACAGATTACCTCTGAGTGTTGGCATTGTATATTATCACATGCCTCTGCTAACATGATCTCTATTGGAGGCAGAGAAAAGACACTTTTGTAGCATGCCCGGAGTAGAACAGCTTTCTTCTCAGCCTTTAGTGGTGGCTTCAGCTTTCTGACAAAAGAGAGAAGCCCCCTTAATGAGTCATGACAATGTCTGGAATCCAAGGTAGGAAAAAATATATCATCCATTATTCTTTAACACCCTCAAACTTAATGGCGTGTTTGTTCTGACCATAGTAAGCAATAGAAATGTGTGTGTGTATTTTGGTACAGAGATAAGTGCTCTAATATAATGCATCAAAACTGATTTTAATAAGTGTCCTACTTAGGGATAAATTCATAGCCCAAAGATAGGAAAATTAGTTTTTCCTCACTTTCTTTAGTTCGGAGTTCATAAAGCATGCAGTAAGCTAGCTCTGATTTTCAATAAATATTTTAGGGGTAAATATTGGTATAAACTAGGGAACAAACTATGTTTGAACTCTGAAGTTTTTATTGAGATTTAAAATATTAATTTTGTAAACCACAAGGCTTCCATTGCTTTAGCCAGAAATTATAGTGGCACCATCTAGTGGCCACAATACTGTAGTGCCTTTCTTTGCACATATCGCATGCTGCATTTATGTGTTTGCCTGTCATCCCACAATGTGTATGTTGTACAGTGTGTATAGGCTTGGAAGGATTAGATTTTTATTGGTAAATGTCAACAAATGTCAATTTAACCATACCAACATAAAAATATTTCCACTGATAATCATCAAAATGTACAGACAGGCAAAGAAAGAAAAATGCTGCTTGAGAACTTAGAGTTTGATTTGGATATATTCTTTGTATATTTCGCCATGTGATGTTGATAATTTGTTTTAACTGTTATAAATTGACATCTACGGTCATTAAATAATTATTGTCTGACTCCCCATAATTTCCCACAACTGTGAACATTTAAATCCATAAAAATAAAAAAGTACCTAAAATAAACTTCAATATTATCTGTCAAAATTATAAAAAATAAAAATTGAATTCTTCCCAGCCTAAGTATGCACCACTTCCCTGAACTACATGGCATGTGTAAGCTCGCTGAAGTGCGTGGTAATTATATCACCCTCTGCTAGCTCCAATACTGTTATACAATTATGACAGTTTCATGGGTTACAGCTGGTAGATATTAAACTCAATGTAAACTAATGTTTTTAAAGTGTTTGCCTTAAGTTTTCAGTGCTAGTAATATCTTAGTTCTGGAATGCACTTTTATTTAAAATTCCTCATATCCCTTTTCTCCTGCCAAACTGACCACCATATTTTTAACAAAATTGTATTTGGCATCAAAATTATTTCAACAGTTCTTTGTTGAAAGAGTGAAATATACGGTAAGCATACTTTTAACAGGCTAACAACCAAATTAATGCAACATATGCAGTATACTGTATAGGTGAGCAGCACATTAAGTTTCTGCAGGTTAATTTCTCACAACATTTTGTGAATGACTAATTTGTCCCCTGAAGCTTATTACCCAGGATTCTGTGCATCTATAAAAACAGTTTGTTTCAACTTCATGGCAAACTTTGGGCTAGACTGTCTATGATGCTGAGTTTCAACTCAGAATAGTACAGATGGTGGCCATCAGAGAGCTGGTTATCTCCCTAATTCTCTGCCTGGCCCTGGCCCCAGAGGTTAGACTGAGGAGTTGTTTTTCATCTGAAGACAGTTGGAGCATAGTGCACTCTGGCCATACCCACTCTATGTCCTGATATACCCATTACACATGGGACTTGCATAAGCCTTCCTGGACATCTGGAGTGCACAGTGACAATGTCTGTTGCTAAACCTCATCGCTGCAGAATATGATCCTACCATGGTCTTTAGCTTCCTCCCTTCCGGGCCGCCCAGAGGCGGGGGGGCAAGTGGGGCAATTTGCCCCAGGCCCCGGTCCCCGCAGGGGTCCCCAAGAGAGTTTTCAGGGGCCCCCACGAGAGTTTTCGGCGGCACGGGTCCTTCAGTGCTGCCGAACACACCCGGAGTGAAGGACCCACCGCCCAAGACCCCAGGCCCACTGAATCCTCCTGGCGACCCTGCTTTGGTGTGATTTGTGCTCCCAGCAGTACTAGGGAGTAAGTCTGCTGTGATTGTGGCTGGCCCACGTGCAATTGGGCACAAGGGAAGGGGAGAAGGCTCTTTACACAACTTGAAAGGGGCCAGACACAATTTGACCCATATTGTATCTGTAGTCTATGAAATACTAGTTTGTCTCTCTGCGGCTCTTGTGCTTTGTAGTACTTAGGCCTTTAAACAGGAAAAAGGAGAACAGAATCTGAAGAAACATAATGTTTGTGATGTGGTCTCTGTTACTGATCTCTCCTCAACTCTGCACTCAGGCACTGTTGGCCACATACACCACAGTATCTGTTTCAGAAATGCTGCAATAAATTACAGGAACTTTATCCCAAACCCACAAGAGAAACCTACTGTACTACAGGTTTTTTTGAGCTCCTCACAGAGAAGTTCTTTACTTTAAGAGGTGCTTGGATTCGGGATCACTAGAGCATAAAGTGAAATAGGCAAGGAAAAAAAGAGTTAATATTCCTGCTTCTTCCAGATGACAAATTAGCAAACAGGACATGACACAGGAGCCAATATTCCTGGGTGTAATATGGAGCAGCAACTCAAGACTGAACTCTGATGGAAGGCTGGTTGAGCTTTCACAATACCTCAGGTTAGTGACAACAATCATGGCCTGCTGGCGCACAGGGTTAGACAGCAAGTTCACTGACTCTTCTTCAATCAGCTTCTGTAAATCAAAGAGGAGACAGAATAGCAGCATGTGAGCTCCAGCTTTGCCCACCGACACGCCATCCTTATTCCACTGCTCCTGAAGGACCCATACATGAGCATCCATCAGTACTAACTCCAGAGGGACACACACAGAGGGGCTATTTAATCTCTGGGGCTCTCCAGATCTCAACTGTAAGAAGAATTTCTGACTATAGAAGATGATGTGACAAAAAACAATATTAAGAGTTTTTTTAAAGGAGGAAATCTACTCAAACCCTGATATACCTTAGTTCCCATGTGCCATAAAAACCTTCTTAAACTGGCTTAGTCAATATCACCACAACGAACAGGTAGACAGTTATGAGAGGTCCTGGGCAGGGCCACTAAAGCGCATAGGTTCCATGACAAGCTCAGTATTGAGAGCGGTGAATGGCTAAAAGCAGTGTTGGTGGTTGTTGATCTGTATATTGGAGTGCTAGGAGTATGCACTGTGCGTGCGTTTAAATGCTGAAAGGAGGTCTCTGTGAGTGCTGGGCATTCATTCAAGATGCGAGTGACTGTAAATTGGGGAAAGCCTCCAATAACAGCAGACAGGGCTTGTTCTGACAGGCCATGGAAACTGCAGTCACTTAGTGTATATGTCTACACTGCAATTAAAAACCTGTGGCTGTCCCATCCAGCTGGCTTGGGCTCAGGGGCTGTTTAATTTGCAGGGTAGACATTCGGGCTCTGGCTGCAGCCTGGACTGTAGCACCCTGCGAGGTGGAAGGATCCCAGAGCTCAGGGTGCAGCCCAAGCCTGAACGTCTACACTGCAATTAAACAATCCCTGAGCCCAAGCCTTGCCAGACTGAGTCAGCTGGCACAGGCCAGCCATGGGTGTCTAATTGCAGTGTAGACATACCCTAAGGGAGGTAGAGAGTTTGAGTTCTGTGCGTGCTTGTTTTTCTCTCCTGTTCTACATATGGAGAATGTGCAAGAAGGCAGAGCTGACCATGTGCTGGACCTCATGGACCCAAAGACTGCATGTTCCTTCCCCAGATCCTGCTAAGTCTAAAACTGCTCAGTGTTGAGAAAACCTCCCCCCGTCCACCAACCAGTGAGACATGACAGGAAGTGGCAGTGGGGAAGGGTATATCTGAAATTTTGGTGGGAGAGCAAGTGTTCTTTCCTCACCTGCTGCCCGCCCCCCAAATGGATTCTTCCTCTGAGTCTCTGCCCACCCAGTCATTTCTTGCTGCCTCAACTAGGGGTTTCCTCCAGGCTCCCAACATTTCATGCTGCCTCTTACTGGGTGGCTTCTCTCATTATTTCTTCTGTCATATCCCAGGTCTTTGGACCATGGCTGGGGCTCCCAGCCAGCCGCTCTATGTTACCACTATCCAAGGGCTTCCTCCAGTGTCCCCTTGCATTCCTATAAATTTAATGTTGCCTCTAACTGCTTGTCAGGAATCAGGGCCTGTGGCAGAGCCAGACTCCAGACAACCTTACCAAACAAGTACAACTGGCCTGCTTGATTGGCTACACTGCCTGATTGGTTGGAAGGCTCTGCAGACTGGCTCTTAAGCCCAGCAGTTCAGTGGGTGCTCAAAGCATTTGCCCATGGTTGTGATAGCTCCTTTGCCTGGCTTGTTCCAGCCTTGGACCCCACCATGCCTCACTCCAAGTAGTCAGATTCTGACCCACGGCTCCAAATCAGGACCTGTGACTTTGGCTCCGGCATCTAGCCTCTGACTCTGGTTCTGACCCTGGGCTCCAATTCCTGGCAACCGACTCCTGCTCTAACCACGTGGCATGACTGCCCACGTCTTGGTCACTGACAAGTTTGAGTAGCCCCTACACAAACAATAAGGGATCTATGGCTGATGCAGCACATATGGAGACTACAAAGGACAATCTCTTTCTCACACTCATCTCCAATCCCAGCTTCCCATGAGCCCAAGCGCCCCTGCCTGACAAGTTCAATTGTAATCATGCCAAATGTTGTGGGTTCCTAAACCAGTGTTGGCTCCTATTTCTGCTACACCCACAGCTATACCCTACTGACAAAATCAGAGTGGGTTTAATTACCAGCCTGCTTATTGTGGAGTTCCTGGCTTGGGTATCTCTGCTCCTGACAAAAAAATGATGCCCACTTCTGGGACAATTTGAGGACTTTGTTAGAGCAAATGAGTGGCTAAAGCCATGCTTCAAATGTTGTGGCAAGGATGCCAGCAAGTTGCTAAATATGCAGCAGAGTTCTGATGTCTGAGTGGAATTCTTGGGATAAACTGTCTTGCCCAAGGAACTCACCATGGACCTGCATAAGATGGTGGGAATATCTGACTGGACTGCACCCAAGGACCTATCCAGATCCAGTGATTCCTGAGGTTTTCTAATTTCTACAGGCAATTTATTAAGGGATTCTCTAACCTGGTTGCACCCATAATGGCACTCCTGCAAAAGGGGGTCAGATTGGCCTGGTCTGCAGAGGCTTAGTTGGCCTTTGACTGAAGAGAGAATTCACCTCAGCATCCATTCGGATTCATCCAGATCCCACTAAACCATTTACAGTTGAGCCCAATGCCTCAAACGTTGCCATAGGTGCAATATTATCTCACCATGTGGAGCCCCACAAACAATTCCATTCTTGTGCTTTTTATTCTTGGAAGCTAACCCCAGCGGACGAAAAATATATTTGGGAAAGGGATGTAGGGATTGAGGTGGTTTTTGAGGAGTGGCACCACCTCCTAGAAGAAGCCTGATTCCTGGTCCAAGTCCTGATGGACCACAAGAATCTGGAGTACCTACAGACTGCTAGATGTCTTAACTAAGACTTAGAACTTCCAGTCACTCTTCTTTGCTTGCTTCAACTTTGTAGTAACCTATCGTCCAGGGACAAGAAACAGGAAAGCTGATGCCCTATCCAACAAAGACGAATATCATGAACCTGGAGAAGAGCCCCCGCACCATGCTCAAGGTGTCCAACTTTGTCAACAGGATGATTGATAGCGATGTGACGTCCTCCACCCGCTCCCTGCTCCCCAGCAACTCATTTGCAACCCAGATCCACCAGAATCTGAATGATGCAATTCCCCAACCAGATTCCTAGTTCTGACTACCAAATGGCTTCCTCTGTCACTCACTTGGATTGTGTTTATGTTCTGGGGGACAACCTCGGCTTCAGGTATTAAAACTATGCCACAGTTCACTACTTGCAGGCCATTTTGGCTAATTCATGAGCTGGAATATGGTTTTGAGGAGCATTTAATGGCCAGGCCTATGAGCTTACTGCAAGAATTATATTAAGTCCTGCAAACTGTATGCCCATACCAACAACCCACAATCAGGATCCTGAGGGTTCCTCCAGCCTCAATATACTATATCAATGGACTTCATTGTAGAACTACCATGCTCCCAGGGACAGTTTGTCATCCTGGTTATCGTCAACCTCCTAACAAAATGGTGCACTTCATCCCATGCTGTATTGTTCCTACCACATGTTGGATTGCTTGACTTTTCCTGGAAAATGTCCTCCGTTACCATGGGTTACTGAGGGGCATTATTTCAGACTGGGGTCCCCAGTTCATCTCCCGATTTTGGCAGGAATTTCTCAGATTCCTTGTCACTGAGTCCCTCATGTCATTCACCTATCACCCGCAGACTAATGGACAGAGTGTCAATCAAATCTTGGAGCAGTATCTTCGCTGCTTTTTGAGTTATCCTTGTGACGACTGGCTTCCCTTGCTGTGTGATGTCGAATTTGCATATAACAATGCAATCCATCCCTTGACCCAGCATAGCCCATTCTTTGCAAACTATGGCTTTTACCCCCACTTCCAGTCAGCCTTCACCATGAGTTCCCCAGTACCGACTGCTGTGCTTTTAGCCTCCCACCTACACCAGGTGCACTGGGAGCTCAAGGAACACTTGCAATCCACCAAAGAAAGTATCTACACTATGTGGACCAAGACTGCCAGGCTGCCCCCAATCTGGTCATAGGGGACAAGGTGTGGCTGTCAGCCCAGAACCTTAAATTGAGCCACCCATCTGCCAAACTAGACTACCAATACCTAGGCCCCTTCAAGATTACAGAACTTGTGAACTCAGTTGCCTTCAGGTTACAGCTACCTGAGTCCTTGAAAATCCACCCTGTCTTTCCCATCTCACTTTTTAAGCCCTACACCAAAAACCCATACCCAAATGGCTCCAAACCACCACCACCACCCAAAACAGTCTTCGGACAGGAGGAATATGTGGTCAACCAAATCCTCAAGTCTTGGTGAGTTAGGGCAAGGCTCCAATACCTGGTGGACTGGGAAAGCTATGGTCTGGACAAATGGTTTGGGAACCAGTAGAGAACACCCATGCACCAGACCTCTTGTAAGAATTCCATCAGAAGTACTTCAAGAAACCAATCTCTGAGGCCCCTATGAGGCATTCTTGGGAATGCGCAGGGGGCGTGGGGGGGGGATTGTCAGGAATTAGGGCCTGCAGCAGAGCCAATCTGGAACCAGAGCCTGCAGCAGAACCAGTATCTGGGCAACCTAACAAGTGCAGTTGGCTGTAGTAGGCTGATTTACTGGTTACACCAGCTGATTGGTTGGGAGATTCAGCAGACCAGTTCTTAAGCCCAGCAGCAGCAACAGTTCAGCAGTTGCTCAAAGTATCTGTATACAGCTGCGATAGCTCCTGCACCTGCTTGTTCCCAGAATTCCTCCCACCTTATTCCAGTTTTGCTTTTGCCTCGTTCCAGCCCTGCTCCTGCCTTGGCCCTGTCTTGCCTCACTCCTGGTAACTTAGTTCTGACTCTTGGCTCAGATTCCTGGCTCTGACTCTTGGCTATCCATTCCTACTCTAACCACTAGGCATGACTGTCCACTGTGCTCATTGACACTGCCACCACTTCATGCTGCCTACTGCTTCCTCTTCCTGTCCCCGCACCTCTCATCCTGCAAACCAGACCACCCTGACCTCTCTGCACCCCCAGCCAAGCTGCCACATACACATATCGGCCTTACCTCCAGTCACTGCCCTGATTTATAGGGGATGTATGGACTACTATGAAATAAAATGACAATTATATTTATAAGTGGGGACAAAGTGGATCAGTGGGACCATGAAAGATCCCATATGTGCTTGGTCCAGCCTTGCAACCAGGTTCCAGCAGGGGTCATTGATTCAAAGTGCCAGAGCTCTGTGTACGGCTGCCATGTGCTCAAAGTGTGGGAGCTTTGTATATAAACTCCATCATGCCCAGCTTTTTACTGCCAGTGTTGCTCAGAGTTCTCTATAACGGCCCAACGAATAGAGACCCTAGGCCAGATTCTGCACTCGTTTCCAGGGTGTAAAATGTGATTAACTCCACTGATTTCAGTGGGGTTACTCTAAGACTGTAAATGAGAGCTGAATTTGGCCCGGTTTGTATATTTTACTCACCACCATGAATGCCACGATCACAGCTTTCTGCGAGAATTCATGGGCTTCTTTTGCTTTCTGGGCGATGTTGCCAACAGTTCTGGTGAATGCAGCCATTGACCTCAGAAAGCTCAGCTTCAGACCTAGGTGCTAAATCCCACCAGGAATGGGGAGAAAGGCAGTTTAGTGCATTAATGACACAGGAGAAATAAAGCAGTTTAGGGCATGGCTAGATTAGAATAAAGGTGAGATGTTAGATCCAGCTAACCAGCTTCTACTGGTAGAGTAAAATGTTTACACCTTCCCCCCGGGCTAGGCCTTAACTCAACCAGTTATTCACACTCTAAAACATGACTTTCTCTAGGCTAGAGTTTTACAAGATGTTAATTAGACCAAGTTAGCTAACATCATGCCTTTACATCTTAGTCTAGATAGGGCCTTAGAGTGCTCATGTCAAACATATTATAATGAGATACTGTCCCTTACCCCTCCTGCCTGTTCCACGTTCTAAGGCTGTGTCTACTCTAGAGACCTTACAGTGGCGCAGCTCCCATGGTAAGGTCTCCCGTGTAGTCGCTTTATGCTAAACGAGAGAGAGCTCTCCCATCAGCATAATAAAGCTTCCGCCAATGAGCGGTGGTAGCTATGTCAGCAGGAGAGTGTCTCTTACCGACATAGCGCTGTCCACACCAGCACTTCTGTCCCTGAAACTTATGTCAGTCATGTGAATGTTTTTTCCCCACACCCCGACGGGCAAAAGTTTTACCGACAAAAGTGCTAGTGTAGACATAGCCTAAGAAATGTTCTCTCCCTACCCAACTGATATCCAACGTCTGTTCTCATTGCCTGAACTCAGAAGCAAGGATAACTATTATGTGTTGAGACCTTATGACACACTGAAATACAGGAACATAAAGAGGGGCCCATATGTATTTAGTATCTTCATACAAGTATCATTTGTTTTAATTATCATGGTTAACAGAACACTTCATTAAGGCTGTAACCCACCATGTATGGTAATAACAATCACTCTAACCATTGGAATATGAATTTGAAAAATCAAAAGCTACACCAGAGGTAAACGTTTCCATTTAATTTAAATAAGAAGGGAACAGCCTGAAACCGGGCTGTCACAATACCTATAAAAATATCCATTAGATCACATCCCCCTACTTTCCATACTCAGATGGAAAGAGACATTTTCTACATCCTACATCAGATCATGTGACCAAGAATCTGACAAACCTTTTTCTGTTCCCATGACATGCAGAGAAGGCAAATTTCAGAAAATCCCCCCTTTCTCCCTGATTCCAGTTCTCATGACCAAGTGACAAGTGAGATCACCATATTTAGACAACACTTCAGAAACCCACCTTGCTAGAAAAGGTTACTGCCAATCTCATCTACTAGTCTCAGAAACATCTGAAAACAGACAAAGGAGATGCACAGGGAGTGTAGAGGGAAGGGACCTGGTAACTGTACCTTACCTTTTTCTGGAGCGGTTTTCCAAACACCAAAAAACACCAAACAAGAAATTCTTGTTCTGCTGAAAGAACTCTTACTATCTTTAAAAAAGGAAAGATCTTGGGTATTATAGAACAGCAAGTGTTACTTCAGAATCAGGAAAATTAGTTAGACGGATCACTAATCTGATTCATTATGGCAATCCCTATGTTCTTATGCTGTGGATGCAACGCAGATATGGGGTCCTTACGGGACCCCTTTCTAGAACATCCACATCAGAAGCAATGATGGGATGGTGTCCCAGCAGATAGTTTCCTGTCAGTTTCCTAGTGGAGACAAGCTGAGCCCAAAACAAAGATTGCTGCACCCCAGGAACTCTAATGCTTAAGGAGGAGAAAAGCATCCATAGAAATAGGTCCACTTTCATAGTACCGTGGCTGAGGCAGTGTGGCAGCAGTAATGGTATAACATTTGGGACAGGATGTGGTCCACCCAGGGAAGGATGTTGTCCTTTGTTTCCTTGGCCACCTGGTCATAGCAAAGGTGAAGGGTGCTGGATGCCATGCTCCACTTACTCTGCTGTGCATCCTGTGGTGGAAAGGGAGATAAATGCAAACTCATCTTTCCAAATTCTTTCTCATGGACAAGCTCCTTCTCTCTCCTCCCTCCCCCCCCCACCCCGCTCCAACAGAACTGCTCCACTGTCCAAATATTCGGTGCCAGAAAATTGTCTATAGGTAAGAGAAAACCTGCAGATGAAGGAGAGGTTCTCAGAAGAGCTGAGATCGATAGGCTTTATGGCCAAAGGGGACCATTCTGATCATCAAGTCTGACCTTCTGCATAGCATAGGCCATAGGATTTCACCCAGTGATTCTTGCAGTGGAGGAGGGAATTATTCTTCCTTGCCACATGAGTGAACTCTACTGAGGACAATTACTTGTGATTGAACTAGAGCAAATCTAGTCTCTCTCTTAAAAGGACATCCACTCTTGAGTCAAAACTTCAAGTAGGGAATTTACAACAGATGTGATATTTCAAGAGAAATATCCATTGTGTAAGCAGGGTCGGAATGAACTCTCCCTTGACCTAGTGATGAGCTGGGGGAAAAAGACTTCAGGACTAAACTGTGTTTAGATGACCACATTTACTCTGCCTACATATTCAGCAGACAGAGCTGTGTGGCCAAAGTGATCCATTTTGGCTGATGTTGGGTCAGTGCCACCCTCTTTCAGGAGACAGAAGTTTAAATATCGGAACAGGGGAAAGCTAAGCAGCATCTTCTCCTGTGTGGGGGGGCTGTAACTCCAGCACATTCAAGCGGCCTCCAAGACAATGGGGTAACATTTCTCATTTGCCACATTTTACAGAATTCATTCCTGCAGTCCTTTACTCACCTGAATAATCTTTTCAAAGCCCATGGAGAACACACTACTGTCATGAACAAGACTTTGCAGAATTGGACCCACAGTTTGTATCAATCAGCGACATTATTGCAACATGAAGGCGGAGATTTTAAATCACACAAATGCAGAAAATTCAGGTTCCCACAACAACCTTAACTCTCCCACCTTGTACATTTGCATTCCAAGAGGGTCTGTGATGGGGCATATAAAGGAGGGGTTGTGGATGCAATCAACCCTCGCCTGGACACACTATACCTGCAATAGGTGTCAGGCTTGGAGGGAAGGGTTAAAGGGGAAAGTTACTTAGACTTAGAATCTTCTGTGTCTAGTGGGACATGAGGCAACACATTTCTCCCTCGCTGTCTGTCCAGAGCAAGATATTAAAAGGGGAGAGTACAGCTCAGTCAGGGGAGACTGCCACCTACCAGAGCCTCCCTGAGGGAAGGTAGGCCTGATGGGGGATGACTGTTTGATTTAATCACCCGTGACCTATCTGCTGGTGCTGAACGAGTCTACTGCAGGTGGTGCCCCACTTGAAGGCCTTTTGTTTTCTCCCACCAGACTGGAGGCCCTGCAGCCGTTTGTCCTGAGCCCAGAAGTGGTCACAGGTCTCTTACTAAAAGATCACACATCATCAGGTAGTGCAACCCATTCTTCTACAAACGTAATTCTTACTGGAAAAAGGCAGCACTCTCCTCTGTAACTTTAAACAAGTACAGATGACCCCAGAAGTGTCACTGAAAAGAAGGGATGGAGGGGAGTCTGAGAAACCTGTGTGCTTTACAAGCCACATTTGAGCCATGGTTTCACAGTAAAATAACATGTTATCTGTACCTCACTGGGTGAGCTTTCATCTGGGTTCACAACGTTAATGAATTCCTGAAGCACCACCAAGGTGTCCTTGAGGTGGCGGGTGGCTACGAGACTGACGGCAGAAGCAATTCCCTAAAACACAGAGTCATGCTTCAGTATGGAACACTTCCCTTTCCTTGTTCCTGTACTCTCCACCCCAACCTTTCCACCACCCAGACTTCCCTTCCACATCCTTTCCCAAGCTTTGGAGAGCACCAGGGGACTTCTATGCCATTCTTATAGGGGAGGCAAAGGCTATCTCCTCCATCATTACTCTCCTCCTTTCCCTAGTCTGCTTACAGATCTTTGATAGTCTTTATATTCCTCTTCCTTTCCCTTCCTCCACTCCAAGACTACATAATTTCTCCCATTCCAGTTCACATAGAGATATTTGGTCACTCTTCCATTTATCTCTATGCCCCCCTCTCCAGTCTATGGAAATTCTCATTAGTCCTTTTCTCTCTTCACAGAGATTAATTGATGACCACTCCATTTCCCTCACCTCTCTCTCAGCTTCCTCCTGCTGAGAAGTCCGTAGTACAATGCTGAGGTACTCCCTCACCAGATCTCTGTTTCTTGATGCCCGTAGGACTGCCCCATAAAATTTATACGGGAAAATCTATAAAAATACAGGATTATCATTAGATACAGGGGAATGATTATTCCCCATTAATACATTTTAGATCTCACTGTATGCAGTATATAAAAAGAAATAATTTCTTTGGTGTTTTTATATATTTGAAAGAACTTCACATCATTATGGGCTATGAGTAAAGAATTGTGATATCTGTTGGAACACTAATTAGAGCCAGTTACAGTGTGACCTCCCTCAGCTCTAAAATGCCCAGCAGGGCTCATTATATTGTTGCAAGATAAAGATTTTGGTGCCCTTCACACATCTTATATTGGAAGGTCACTGTTTTCAGGAACTGCAAATAACCATGATCCAGAGAGAGCCTTCAGATTGGAGGCTGCCCAGATGATCATATATATCTGTTTACTAAGGCTGAGGTTTTAAGAAGTGGGATACCTAAAATTAGACCTGTAAATCCATATTTAGGCACCTAAATCAGAGTCTAATAAGTGATGAGCACCAGCTGCTCCTATTTTCACTGGAGCGACATTATTTTACACCATTTGAGGATCTGGCCCCATAGTTGGAGAACCGTAGAAGAGAAGACAGTATAATGGGAATGCCACATCTGAGAAGCATAATTTGCCCACAAAGAGTAGATTATATATGCTGGGTTATTAGGAGCTATTTTGGTAGTCCCATTGCAGCACACAATATTCAATATACACTTTTGGGGTGGATCACCACCTAAGACTTATGGCAGAAGTGTGTTTTAAAAAGGCACTGGAATGAGGAGAGGGTAGTCACTTAGACCTCGATCCAGCAAAGCATGGCAGCACACGCTCAACTTTAAATATCTGAGTAGTCCCACTGAAGTCAATGGAAGCCAAAGGGGAATTTAAAATTCTTCTAACAGAGAATATTAATTCCACTTTCGCTAACAAATAATCCTGTGTTTTTGTAGGTTTTTCCATATAAATTTGATGGTGAAGTCAAGAGGCCTACACATGTGCTGAAAAATAAACATGTGCCTAAGGGCTTTGCTGGATCAGGGCTTTGACACACAAGACCGGAAGTAGAATTCTACTGTGTCAGGTATTCTGCTGCCATCAGGGACAACTGCCTCCTTGAACATGTGCTGCATAACTTACAGATCCCCATGGAAAGAGCTCTAATATGTATTTCTTAAACACTGACCCTGGGCACCTTGTAACCCAGCTAGTCCTGCATACTTTCATCTCCCCAGAAACCTCTCCTAACACAGGTAGACTGCATTTGTTGTTTCACTCCTATTCATTATACCCAGAACTGACCTTATCTTGGGGCCTCTGAGAATAGCTTTTGCTTTTCACAAGAATCTCATTTGCAAGCTCACAGGACCATGCATCATCCATAATGGCTTCCACTGACCTTTCTAAAAGCTGATCAGGGGTAGGAAGAAAGTCTGTTAGGAAGAATACTTACAGCTCTTCAAACTCACTGCTACCTATTTTCAAAGTATGCAAATAGCTCGACATTTAGAGACAGCTAGTCAGAGGGTCTTTTATTGATGCAAGACATTAGGAACAGAGGAATTGTTAGAAAGCCAATTTAGTCTGGTATTCTGTCACCAACAATGACCAGTACCAGATACTTCAGAAATAGTGTAGGGTGAAGACTGACCTTTACCCCCATGGCCCGCTAACCAGCATAACCGCGCCCAGTACACGGAGCAAAGTATGTTTCACTGGAGATTGGCCCAGTGCAGTGTATTCTCTCCCCAGGGCAGTGAGGAAAATAGGATGCTTCAGGAATCCCAGAATGCACTGTTACAATCATTGCTGTAAAATCTGCTGTATGTGGATGCACAAATATGGTTTTGTTGCTAAGCGGATGCACACAGTTGCAAGGGCAGATGCACACAGTTGGATGCAAGGGCAGATGATCCTGCAGTGGTAGTATAGACACGTGCTGAACATAGGTGGAACACAATAGGCACATCGTCGAAGAGCTAAAGGCCCCTCAAGAGGATGAATGTTACCTGAAGCAGCTTGTCCTTCCATTTCTCCTCTTCCAGAGTTCCTTCATTATGTGCTGGAAGAGGCAGAAATGCAGCTTGTCAGCAAAAGTGTTTTGAACACTGTTCAGATTGGCTCAGCAAGACATAATGGAGACTCCAGATACCAGCACAGAGTGAGATGGATCAGCTAGGATGTGTGCTTTAGCTTGGCGATCAGCATAAACATATTGTATGCAATAAAAGTATTCAACCACTGGAACAAATTACCAAAGGAAGTAGTGGATTCTCCATCAGTTGATGTCTTCTAGAAAGGCATCCAGTCTTGATCTAAAGATATATTTTAGCTCAGCAGAAGTTATTGGGATCAATACAGGGGTAACTGGGTGGAATTCTTTTCGGTGTTAAACAGGAGGTCAGGCTACATGATCAAATGGTCCCTTCTGGCCTTAATATCTGTGGATCTATTAAAAAGGTTATCAAAGCTGATGGAGATACTGCACAGCTGGCATTTGCAGGCAAAACAGCAAGGGCTTTAAAGGTGAGATTTTCAAAGGAGCCTAGGGAAGCTAGGTGCCCAATTTCCATTGAATTTCAGTGGAATTTGAGTGCCTAATTCCCTTTCACTCATCTGAAACATCTCAGTTTTAATCCCTTTGCAGAGAAATTAAAACCATATTCTCTCCTCTCCTCAGCAGTCTAAAAGAATGGCAGAGGCTATATTTAGAGAGTTATGACCCTTCCGCCCCTCTCCCCCACACTCCACCACATTGTTACTTGGGGAAAATTCCTGTTGAAAAGTCAATGAGAGCCTGAATAAGGACTAAGGGCCTCAGGATTTGAGTCTAGCTAAATAATATAGAAAAAGACTAGGTTGGCAAACAGATTTTCCTTCCCTTCCAGATCTGACTCAGGGAACAAGGGCTACTAGGAAAGAATATCCCTAATGGACTCAGGAGGTGGGGAGGGGGAGAAGGAGTTCTGGCCTGCCTTGCTCCAGAACTCCAATCAAACAGGAAAAGAAAGAATGGAGCATAAGCCAATAGGAAGAATGAAGTGTATTTATACATCTAGGCTGAGACCTAAACCCAGTGAAGCTAGAAGAAATGGATTGTATTACAATGTATTGACTCAAGAGCAAATGTCAATCCACAGTGGTGTGTTGGGCTGGGTAAACCACTATGAGCTAGTCTTGCTACCATTGAAATCAGAAGCAAAACTTCAAATGACTTGTGCGGGAGCAGGATTGTGTAAGTCTATAAGAGCTGCCTTGACACAGATGCATACTACTTCCATGGGACCAAGCACGTGCACTCTGAATCAACAGGAGAGTTGACTCAGAGCCTGTCACACACATCAGCTGTTCTGGGAACCCACTTCCCACTTCCTTACCTTCTAAATATTGTATAAGCTCAGGAATCATCTCCATCCACAACTGTCCCAAATCTGAATGCATCACAGGATGGAGAGAGTTGAGAGGGTGGAGGGCATGCAACAGTTGGAGAGCAACAACCCCACAGTCTCCATCTTTGTAGGGATACAATGAAATCACCTGGAAAATGAAGAGCCAGCATTCATTTCAAGACTCTAGCAGCAAAAGGAACGGTTGGGAGGTTGAACTATAATGCTTCATTTTGTCTCTTAAAAGGTTGCTTTTGTTGGGATGGGGATCAGGGTGGTCTTGAACAGGTTTATTTATTTATAGGATAAACAGCATTTGCAGGTCCCCCTCATGTCAGAGATTATTTCACAGGGATAGCCACAGAGGTCTGCTTTCAGTTTCCTGTTGCCACACCAGTCATCACCAGAGACCCCAAGTGATCCAGCCAGGATGTGCACGCATCTGAATGAAAGATCTGGGAGATTATCCTTGGAAATGGTAACTGCCCATCACCATCCAGTACAATTTAAGAAAGGCTCAGCTGGCTCAACCACTGCAAACTCTGGCTTCATAGATGACATATTTTAAATTTTTTTAAAATTTATTATTGAACTAAATGCAAGTATCTTGGACCAAATAGATGAGTTACAGGAAGAATTGCTTACCAAAAGGCGTAGCAGGAGTGCCTGAGGGGTTGGGAGTTCAGTCGCTGTCATAAAAAGAAATAGAAGCTCATTGAATGTACAGGAGAGCTGGGGGCAACACACTGAGCTGCGAGTTAGAGATTAGACAATTGTTTTTAACCAGTAGATAGTGTTTACTGATCAACAGGGTCATTCTCTAACTTGTTATAATGTCAGTCTCAGTTTTGTCACTCTTGGACAGGTGAGTATGGCCAATAATAAAACAGAGTATTTAAACATCTGGCCAGGTGTCCAAGACTCCTGTCAGCATCCCTGCTATGAGTCACATAGCACTAAAGTTAAAGATACTTAAAGGGTAAGAAGCAAGAAGTAACTGGATGGAAAGACAACTGGATAAGTAAAAAACATCAGAGTTGGAAAATTTTATCAAGAAAGGATGCTTGCAAAACAGAAAAAATTTATGTAGATTCTGGAACCTTTTCAACGCCATTGTCTTCATATAAACATATAAAATGGCAGCCCCAGAGTATTTATATGCCTCTTTGAGCTTTGTTTTACCACCTTTACCTATTTAGGGTGTCTCAATCCAGTCTACTTTATAATAAAAATATGAACTGTAGGAGACAGTCCCATTCAGGATCTCAAATAAAGACTGCTGCTCTCCAACTAGTTCAAGGTAGAACCAATATAGCTGGGCATGATTTTCACCTTCCTGGGAAATTTCCTTGTACACTTGTGCTTCTTTTTAGGTATATGTCCCTGCTCATAAGGCTCTTTATTTATATATTTCTAGCATTCAAAACTTGAATGCTGACAAGAGTTTTGGTCAGTGTATGAAAACTGGAATGAAATGCAGCACTTTCATTGGTTGCTTGTGTCTTTCCATATATAATGTAAGCGTTCTGATTGTATGAGAAGATTCCATAAGAATTGCATTGTCTCTTGCTAACAGGCTAGGTACCTTACTAGTGTCAGTCCTGTAACCTTCTCCAGCAGAAAGTTTCATTCACATCTTATATTATGAAGGAGATTTAATTAAATGCAGCTGTTCTGATACTAACGTCTTCTGTGTAACTCCGCCAGGTAAGGAGATAGGCCTCCTTTCCCTGACTTTATGAACAAAGATGTCAAGGTCTTGCAGATGGGGATGAAAGTGTTGACATACTCCAGAGGGCACACAAACTGCAATAGCATTTTCCAGGGCACCTGAAAGCAACAAACAGCATAGGTTTGGATATCTTTATACATGTGTAACCCACGCACCTCTTGGGTGTGATGCTCTGTCCCATGTCTTGGCACTGAGATCACTTAGAGAGAGATGAATGAGTCTGCTGTACAGCCTTAGCTAAGAGCCATGTGGCTTTTAGCTTATGCAATAGAGGCTCATGCATTTAGCTCCAGAGGTCCCAGGTTCGATCCCGCTTGCCAATGACTGGGGTCTGTCGGTGTTACACGTGCAACATCATCTCTCTTGTGACTTTCCTTTTATCAATGGGAAAAAATTGCTGCTTCTTAACCAATACTTCAGAACTCTGACCTCTTACTTAATGGCAGATAGAACTGCCTTTCTCTGCCTCCCACAATAGCACATCCAAATCTATACAGTTTTGTTTGATTCTTCCTTCTCATTATTGTCCTGATTCCTTTGGTATGCTAAGCACCTCCAGTAAGTTAATGCGTACCCTCAAATACCAAGGAAATTCAAGGGAGTTAAGCATACTCAACATCTCACAAGAAGAACTCAGCACTTAGCAGGATCAAAGGTACTCCTTTCCTCTCTTCCTAGCCAACCACCTACGTCTCTCTTCATGACTGACCCGGGCTCTTTTGCATATAGATGATTCTCATGAGGAACATATCCGAAGGAAGATCCCTTTGAGGCATGTCCCAGCTGGTGCATGCAGGTGAGTAAGTCAGGGAGAACCCTTTGGGTGGAACTACTGGAAAGTTTGATCAGTCCATGTATAATCGTGCTTACCAGGTTTAGGGTGTTGATACTATACACCTGGACTGCCTCTTCATCCCAGTCACCTTCAGACTTCTATAAATAGATGAAAAATCAGGACACATTAATCTATTTGCCTTCTAACCACATTGAGATGGAGGGGAAGAGGGGTAGCATAAGTGCTTGAATGACTGCAGGTATCTAGAGGAATGTTTGAAAGATAATTATTTGAGTCAAACACAGTTAAGAAAACTTCACTGAAGCCCTTATTGATGCCCAATTAAATCCCCTTCCTTCTCCCAGCTTGCCATGTCCCAAAAGCACTTTTCACTGACATTTTTAAAAAGTGAAATCATTCCCATTCACATTAAGGTTTGTAATTTTTTGTTTTTACAAAAACCAAAACCTGCATTTTGGCATAGAACATACTTGACACCATCCCTTTAACTTAAATAAATGTAATTGGTGGATACTGGTGAAGACAGCAATAAGGGGCAGAAAATTATACAGAATATAGTATGATATTTTCTACTTCAAAGGTACATAGTGATATATACATTCATGGTAGGAAAAGGTATAGCAGAGTTTGAAAGGTCCAGGGAAAGGGTAACAATAATTGTTAAAAGGCCAGGAGGATTAAAAATAAGGGGAGACATTTTTCTGCTTCTTACCATGGTGCAGACAGGGAGTTCACACTGCCGAATGAGAAAATTCACAAGTACACTGCCTCCTGGCAAGGTGAGATACCCACAGCATGCAAAACTTCTAATCAGCTGCAAGAGAGGACTTTTCACCTCCAGAAGACACACAAATGAAGACTGTCAATGATATTTAAAAATCCCAGTGTGCACCACAAATGTACTGTCTGAAATGCTCCTCCCCACTGTAGAGTTTTTTACATTGTGCTTCTTAAGTAGATGATTGGGTCTTGCTGATCATAAATGAGAAATCAGAGAATGCAGCTGCATCAACTCTGTTGTCAGAGCCACAGTGCAAACAACCTGCCCCAGCCCAACAGGCAAAATCCTTCCTATTAGTTACACTGGTGATTCTATAAATCCATCTCCCACCCTAGAAGCTTAAGACAAGTCTGTTCCCAGACATTTGAATGTTCTCTTACCTGATAGTTGTTTTCATGTATGAGGAGAGCCACAGATTGCACCATGATGTCTTTTACTTTGTCCATATGGGGAGCTGAAAGGAATATAGACAGGGGCTTTAGCAGGCTGGAGTCTATCACAAGAAGCTCCTCGCTCTTTTTAACTTCCTATACCACCATTCTTGCCTCTTTGTGGATTAGATAAACATTTGGTTAACTCCTTTTTAGGCTGTGTCCTCCAAGACAAGTTATGTAAGCACAACCACTGTCATATTGTAAGATTACATCACCACTTCATGATGCGCCATCATGGCATGGTAGCATTGCATCACGCCAGGGGTATTTTGGGACTTTTTCAATATGTTGTAAGCCTCTAAGCAAGTGAGACAGCCCTGTCATGAGGAGGATTGTTTTGCCTGACCCTACTCCTGCTGCCGGACTGAGACTGAATAGAGCTATGCTGGTTTATACCAGCTGAGGATCTGGCACCATTAATACATCAGTAAGGCTGTGAACGTGAATTAAGATTGGGAACGTATGCTTGAATTAAGATTTCAAATATAAAATTGTTCAGCCATTCACACACAAAGTTCTAACGCCAAGCTTAAATGTGCCCTGCACACAAGAGGCTGGCTCCAAAAATCTGGGGCAAGAGTTTCAGCTGAGACACGGTTCCATTGAAGTCAGCCAGGAAAGGACCTTGTCCCTGGGGTTGACAGTCAGAGGCACGCTGATAATTCACATCATTTTTATGTGTTCATTTGGTACTCATGAAAGGGAGGAGCTGATGGCATTTGGTACTCATGAAAGGGAGGAGCTGATGGCACTTGCTAGTATAAATAAGCAAGTGGCAGACGAGCTCCCCCATCGCAGTTCCGCTCTTGTGCCTTCCTTTCTTACTTACGCTCCTGGGTAACTTCTCTCAAGACTGTGAGAGCTGCAGTGCACTCCACCTCTTCTGCGCCCTCCATCGGCTTTCTGAGGAAAGCTATAATATCCTCCTGATAAATAGGACCTAACAGAAGAGAAGTCTGACTAATAACAAGTGATGTAAAGGGAAGAAAACCCACCACATTTCCAAATGAAGTTTTTTAGAAGAGTCAGGAATCTGAGATCCTGTTACTGTTATTTCATTTCAATGTTTCTTTCTATTCTTACCCAGCACCTGGAAGGCTCGCAATGCAGAGGTTTGGTTCCAGTTACTTGGCATATCAGATATTTCAGACTTAGCACAAACCTGAAAACAGAAGAAATCCCTGTCACAGACACATGGTTCCACAGCAAAGGAGCATTTGAAACATTCACAGAAGCTGGAAAACCTGGTCCTTCAACACCCCAGGAATGTTTAACAAACCATCTCCTCTAAAACAGAATGAGCATATTTGCTTCATTCAGCCCCACGGGAGTGCCCCAAGATAGTGGAAAACTTAACAAACATATTAGAGACTGACAGAAGAACAAGAGTCTGTGTGACCCTGATTGGTGCATCAGAAGAGGGAATTCCTCTAAAGAAGGTTGTTAGGTTCTTATTCTCAAGAGAGGTCCTGTGATGAACCTTTCCTGTTGAGGAGAAAGCAGCACTCACTTCCTGACCTGGGAATAGAGAGTGGGAGAGAAGGGCAGTGCACAACGTGATAGAGAAGAGAACAGCAGATGAAGAGGGACAGATCTGTGATGACAGAGAAGGGTGCTTTCATCCTTGGAGCTGGCATTCCCCTCTCAATGGAATAGCAGGTCGAATCATCCCTAAAAAATTCAGTCTTGACAGCCCTCTGCAGAAACATTAGATTTTTCACCCTTCTTCGGGATATCTGAGAAACGAAACAGCCTATGACAAGAGACAGGAAAGTGATGGGGAACAGACAACTGCAAAGAGCAAAATCAACTATTGACCACGAGTGACATCTGGAGCAAAGTGATATTATTTTCCACTCCTGATTGGAGTCAACCTCCTTACCTGTGTGAATAGAGTACTGAAAATATTGTCCAGACTATGGTACAACCTCTTGCTCCATTTCCTGTGGCACAGTACAGCATCCAGAAGATGGCACAAGCACTGTGGTAAAGAAGTGAAGAGTAATATGGAATTATCTACTGAACCAATCACCTATGGAACTCTCCTTCTAATTATGAAAGGTTTCCCACATATCCTATCAATGGCTGAATTTATCCCACACTTGTCTCTGTACTTCCTGACTCTCCAGGGACAAGAAGTAGACCATATGCTTCATTCCACAGGCCCCTGAATCTGTCACCTGCCATCATTTGAGATCAGGCCAGTGGTTCAACTGGTTGTATCCTATTCTCAGGTTTTCTTCTGTTTTTTTTTTTGTTTTGTTTTTTTTACAAAATATCTAACCAGTTCCTCATCTATTCCTTACTCTAGATATGTGTCCCTGTCCAGCTCCTTTCAGACAAAGCCTCGGCTTGGAATCAGTATTTCCTCACAACATGGAAGCAGTGGTTCTGTGGTAATGAAGAGCAATCTAACTCTGCTAGTCACTAATCACAGACATACCCTTGGATTGCTCACCTCTGTGACATAAAAATGTTGTATCCCGGTCTCATACTGATGCAGGAGTTCTGTGATCAAACACTGAAGATGATTTTTCAATGTTTGAATAGACATGATGAAAAACAGCTGGCCAATTACATCCAGTGTGGCTTCCATCACCTACGCAGAAGGAAGAAAAGGGAAGGAATAAACCTTTGCCAGGTGAGATTGAGCATGGTTACCAATATGTCCATGTATTGGCAGCATTGAGGTGCCTGGAAATATCTACAATTTTAATAGCAATATCTCACCAAAACTTTCTAGAGAAGGTCTCTCACTTCTGAGGTCTGTGATAGGATGCGTCTGTGTATCCAATGTCAAGTCACATTGACTTATAGCTGCTGTTTTACACAGTAAAATTTTCAGCTAGTTTTACTCATCGTCACTCTGAAATTTGTTTTAACATTCTTCCTCCACTGAATATCAGCATTTCAGATTATTTGCCCCTCCTCCCCCATGCCTGCATTTTCCCAGGTTGAATGTGATAGTGAAATTTGCTACTTATATTTTTAGCATCTTGGGTCCTTTTAATTATTTGTGTGTCCTCAATCGTATTTGCAACTTTGCCCAATTTACTGTGCTTTGTAAATTCACTTTCCTCCAAGAGCTAAAATAGGAAAAGTGTGATGAGAACTCTTGTCATATCCCTCTGCCCAGGTCTCTTTTGTTCTGTTCCTCCTCATGATGTCTGTTGTCCCCTTTATCCCTTCCCTGCGACTAATTTAGAGCCTAGGATGCAGTTAGGAATAATACAATTATTAAATTACTTCCTAGTGTTGAAAGCTATCAGGATGTGGAACAGTCCAGCAGAAGTGACAGAATTTCCATTGCTTAAGTTATTTCACATTAGACAACCCATGGGAGGTGGCAGCATAGAGAACAACCTGGCATTGGTACCAGGGATAGATAAAATGACCTAACAGGTCTTTTCCAACTTTAATTTCCATTTATGACAAAAGAAGGTTAGGGTTGCAAACCAAAACACTAAAATATTAGGAAATTCCAGTATTAAGGTAGCGTGTACAACCCTAATTCTGCTTTCTTATATGTATACACTCTGTAAACAGTCTTTAATGACAATCACAGGACCCCAGGATTTTTTCCTATAGGACACCTGCTCCATTCACGGAGGCTTTCACAGGCTTAGAACTTGGCCAAATTTGGGTAAATTTTCACAGGAACAGGAACAGGCACAGCTCTGACAGCAGACTGACCCCCCTGCAACATTTCAACCTCTAGCTCCAAAGCATAGACTCTCTAGAGCTTTTCAGTGAAACAATAGTATTTTTTTACCATGGGAAAAATGTATTTTCCCTAAACTTGTTTTGAGAAACAGCTGAACCATTTTTGCTGAAATTCCTGCTCCCACCCCATCTCAAAGAAAAATTCAAATTCCTGGCATAGCAAATTTTAGCCTAAATAGCTGAAGTTTGGCAAAGTTTTTAGCAATTGAAAACCTGTCTTATAAAGGAAAACGTCAATCAAACCTACCTGCATCACCTATAGTCCAACTACTCTTGATAAGCATGTCAGATGAATGTTTCTGCTAAAATTATCAATCTTGAAATAGTTAACAATGTTGACATTTGAACAGTCATGATTAGGCTTCAGTGATAATGCCCAGATAAGATTAAAAAGGACAGCTAAAACCTCACAGAGGTATTGTTTTAAGCTGTCTGTCTGACAACTCCCATGTTGGTTCATGTTTGGATCTTCAGTACCATTAGGGCTAGAAACTTAATGTCTTTTCCCAAAAAGTTAATGCTCAGTTCCTGCAGAAAATCAGGAAGCCTTTAGAAACAGAAGGGTGTCCTAGCCCATCCTCACTCACTTCACACCCTGCTTTTTTTCTCCCATGATGGATTCTTCCACATCAAGAATGAGGCCACATTTTCAGAGGCAGAGAGAGATGTGAAGAAAGCTTGTCCTGCTGTCACCCAAGCTATAGCTGTTCTGTAGATAAATAGGCAATTCAACCTATCGCGCTGGCTTTCAGACTCCTTTCACCTGTACAGATTCACCTTCCAAATTCTACACACAGACTAAAAAATGCTCAGTGCCCAGGATTTCCTCTTCTCACCTTTCCCTTTGCAGTTGGGAACCATTTGTTGAAGAGCACCAAGAAAGTCACATAGGCTTTGGCAGCTGCAGTTTCTCTGGTAATGTCCAGCTCCTCAGCTCCCTGTGGTTGCTGTGCCAGGTACCTTGATGCACACCTGGAGAGTTCTCTTAGTACTGCACGGAGAGCCAAAGACTTGTATTTTACTTCACAATTGGTAATAATCAGCATAGTTTTGGAAAGTTCTGCAGGGTCCATAATTGAAATAAAGAACATCCACCCTGTTCACAAATTCAATTTGGAAAACCACCTTCCTGGAACTGATAGCTACTCCCCTCTAAACTCTGCTGGAGATCCCAGACATGTTTACATGATTCAGCCTTTGCAAGTTGAATAGTCAACATGAAATGGGGCCTAGCCACTCTGCACTACAGAGTAAAAAATACATGACAATTCTGAGACCCCATAGCTCACTTGGTAAAAGAGTCTCATTGACTGAAGATTTCCCTCTGAAATTAGAAACAAATGATGGATCAATGCACCTGCCTCAGCAACGTTACATACAGAACAAAATCAAAGCACTGAGGAAGTGATTTTGGAATATTCACTCCCCGTGACAGGTACACATTCATGGGAATAGGCTTATTGGCTTCAATGATGCAACAATGAGAGGAAAGGGTTTCAAAATCTGACCCTGGACACTGAATCTAAATGACTCTTTTCCAAGACATTAGGAGCATATTATCTTCATCCTCTTTCACATTCACAATCTTCCTAACCATGGCTCCATGCTTTGTCAATCTCCACTGACTTCCCTAGCCTTTCTGTACGCAATTCAATATATCCTTCCTGACGTTTGAAAATCTCCCTTGGACTCTCTTCTCCAGACCTCTCTGACCTGTATATTCAGTTACTTCCTCTGCCTCATCTCTCCACTCTCTTTCATCCTTGGCCTAAGAAAACATATAGGCTAGCTAGGAGTCAATAGTAGCTGGATCTCAGTTGGGGAAGAAAAGGATATAAGGAGCTTCCCCTCCCCCGCCCCCTTATTGTATAAGTTTAGGCAGAACTGCATTCCCTGTGCTCAGGCAAGCACTTGCTAATTCTCCGCTCCCCTCCTCCCTCTTGATGCATCATAAAGTCAAAAAAGGAAGTCTGTGGGAAATGAGATCCAGACCTGGGAAAGGGAAAATCCCTAAAATACAAGGAAACTTGAAATTCTCACCATCACTAAATATCAGCATATATTCTTCTGACTGGACCAGGGGCAGGGCTGGCAGGACACAGTCCCACATTGCACCTATATAGGGTGCCATTACTGGAAGAAAGGAAAGGAAAACACAATCACCTTTGTTTCCAGCTGAAACATTCTTTTTTGTCCTGTGGGATTCATCTTCAATACAGGATGAAGGGATATTTGCTTAAGGGAATTGTATCTGCCGGTCGAGCCCACTGCAGAGCAATGGAGTGTGTGTTTCATATCACATATGTAAAAGGGATACACAACTCTATGCATTTTTGATAGATGTAGCTCAAGCTACAAGCAGTTGTTACTTGTGAGCAGTTCCAAGTGGGCTGATACCTTGACAAACAACTGCTCCAGCAAGTAGTTTTTATAAAAAGCCAAATGTTAGGAACACTATAACATAAAGGGCTCTCCCCTCATTATCCATTAACATACAGAGGACAAAGGTTGGCTATAGACTATAGATCTTCCATCTGTGGCCTGGAAATATACCCAGATCGCCTCTCAGAAAGAAACTCTTACGGAATGCAATATTTTCACAGGAAAATGATGTTTGCAAGAATCTAAAAAATAAATCTGTAGTGGAAAGGTGTGTAGGTAAGGGAGAGCAGAAGGAGGGTCTCCGGTTGTGTAGGTCCAGGAGATATTGTGGGTCCTTATATACATAGGCATCTATACTACACCTTCTCACCAAGATAGCTTTCCACCTCTTTCTGCACTCCCCAACAGTAGCCAATGGATCCCTCCGCCTCCCATTCCTTCAAAAGCTTCCTTTCCTGGCCCCAGAAGCAGATCCTTCCCCTCAAGCACTTCAAGACCCCAACCTTCCTAGCTGTCAGTGGCTCCTGCAAGAAGCCAAGATTAATCATTGGATGATATGGTCTCTGCCAAACTGGTGCTCCTGCTGCAGCCAAAAGCATGAGCTAAACCGAATGAAAGTGTAAAAACACAAGGGTACAGGACTTACCTTGCACCACAAGGGCCAGATTGTACCTTTAAGGCATATGCCTGTGGTGGAGGCAGTGTGAAGCTGCACTGACCCAAAGGAGTTTGAGGAGGGAGCATGTATACTGCACTGTCCCTTTGGATGGTGCAGCCTACTCAGCTCTGCAGTCCAGTGCAGAGGTGGGACAGGGCCATGTTCCTTTTGGGGCCATTTGCAACCCGGGTGGTGTGTGAAGAAAGCAGCCCCAGCACTCTACCAAGCACAAGTACTATGATTTTCCTGAGCCCAAACTCCCTCCCACCACTGACACAGCCACAATAAGGCTATGGACAATCTATCCCTAAGAGGATGAGAGGAAGCTCCTTCAGGAGTGAATGGTGTAGGGCTGAGATGTCTGAAATCCTGCTCCTCCCCCCACCCCGAACATTTTAAGTTTTCAGAAAAAAAAAAACCCAAACTTCACAAAACCAGAAATTTTTAATTGAAAATGGGAATTTAGTGCCTCATGGGAGTTGCAGTTTGCTCTTCATGTCCCCATTCTATTCTCTAGGCTGGGCGGCCCAGCTGGAGTACATCTCTTATAATGCACCATGGCCAGGCTCTCCACATTATACGGTCTCCCTTCACCAAGGGGGGAGACCATGATCCATTGTGGAAGATGTAGTCAAGCAGCTGATCCAAGCTCATAGAGGAGAACGGGAATATGAAGAGCAAACTACGACTCCGTGAGGCACCACAACTCTCATTTTTGGCACAATCTTTAGGTTTGGGGCTAAAATATTTTGACAAAAAAACCAACCAAACAAAATCTACCGAGGAAAGCAGACACTTGTAATGAAAAAATTCATTTTGTCACAACCCCAATTTTCCATTGAAAGCCAGTTTACATGGGAAATTTTTGACCAGCCACAGAGTGGCAGTCATTATATGAAGGGTACATAGGAAAAGCCCAGATAACTCAGACCCGTTTAGTGGGGCCACACATGTGAACACTTCCCTGGAGAATAACATGAAACACTTTCCAATCTAACAAGAAACTCAGACAACAGGAAGTTCAGAAAGATGGTACCACTGAGTTGACAGAGCTTCTCCATCGCACAGAGGACACTGTGGTGGGGCAGAACTTTTGGCTGGAATCTTTCCTGTAGCGTGGCCACGACATCTCCTGGGCAGTGCTTCCCAATGGCCACTAGGATTGCAATGGCAGCCTCCTCAAATTCCTTCTTCAGTTCCTTGATCAGCACAGAGAAATTCTTGCCTTATTAGATGCACTCAGAATTACACATGAAGGACTTTTCTCTGTGGAATCATTACCATCAGAAAAGAGTCCAAGAGACAGGTAAGGGAGTGAACAGCTTCAGCTGAGATCTGGAAACCATGTCTCCCTTCCCCCCTGCCATGTTTGGGGAAGGAGAAGGCGGGGGGGATAACGCAATCCTATCAGGGAACTAGAAAAGTGATCAACCTGATTAATTTAGGGTGTATCCTATCTTAGTCATTACAGTCCTATGGTCTCACTGCTACAGCATCATGGATCAAATTCATCCTTGGGATCCTATTTTCCAGCTTCAGGACATTGGTAACTCCCACTGAAATCAATGGGAATTACTCAGATCCCATGGCAAAGGAACAGGACCCCTGGCATAACTCCACTCACTTCAATAGAGTTACATCAGGGATGAATTCAGTCCTGTCATCTAAACGGGCAGAATGCTAATGAGGAAATAAGTTTAAATGGCTTGTTTAGACAGACAAAGGTAACACGCTATTCCAGGACAGGCATTGCTTTCCTACAATTATCCATGATAAAATAATAAAACAGCATTAAATTTGAGTTCCTGAAGGATCGCAAAGCACTTCGCATATAATATGTTGTATAATCTCTAAAGGATCATGCAGCCACAATTGGGGCTGATCATGGCAGTAGTTCTACACCAACAAGCTCTTTGGGACAGGGACTGTATTGTTGTTCTGTGTTTATGCAATGCCAAGGATAGTAGGGTCCTGGTCCTTTACTAGGTCTCCTCAGCACTATTATAATACAAATAATAAATGTTTATAATAATAAATAACATTAAATGACAGTTGAAGCAAAATGCATCTACAAGAGGATTTTCACATATAGTAAACAGAATGACTAGCTCTCGAACATAATTTTGCCAAAAGTGCCACAGAGCCTGTTATAGTTCACTTCAGTTACTGAATAAACCTGAATATGTTTACTTAACTCATGAGAGCTGACAAAATCTCAGCTCAGGTTATCATATGGGCTTCAGAAACGTGTCATGTGACATATGCCCAGGACATCAGTAACCATCCTTTATTGTTCATGGCACTATTACCTAAAGAAAGAATGAACCTCTGAATACGACCTGGATGTCTGGATTCAGTTTTGAGTCCCTCTTTCTCTCCTACATCTTATATTCTTACCGTATTCTTGATTAGATTAATGGAGGTGATGTCAAGCAGACGCTGAGCCAGGTCACTGTTCAGGTGATTGACAACACTGATTTTTCTTTCTAGGTTTCTCAAGATGTGGAGCTGGTGCTCCACAGACAGCTGCAAGGAGGACAGAAAACAGCGACTTAGGTTGATGTTTGGGAAAGTGAGAATTTAACATAGTTTCTGACAAATTCCGTGGATTATAATATTATTCCAACTGTTGTGATTGGTGGGATGGGTCAGGAGAGAAGGAATCAGAGCATATGGGAAACATGTGAGGGAAATAGACTGAATCAAATCAAGTAAGTAGAGAGGTGGGATGAATCACAGGGAACAGACGAGGGGAGAAGTTGGCTTATATGGGAGAGGCAAAATGAAGGAGGCTGGTTCATATAAACTGTTTTTGCATTGCATAAAGACTGTTCATACCAAATCATTGTTCTCAAGACATTCTAGGATGCTCTTTATCTCCAACTCCTCATTGTCCAATTCAGTGAGCTCGGTTACTCCTTCTCCCTTCCCCAAAGCCTTCTGGAATATTTTTGAAGCTGACAAAAAGAAAAAGTTAATTCTTGTCTAATAGGAGAATACCCACCTCCTCCCTGTCAAGCAGGACAAAAAACACAGTGAAATGCACAGTCTCACACTATCAGTTCCTCTGGAAATGTTCCCTACATTCTGGACTAAATCCTTAGGTGCTTTAAATGCATTGAGTTCAGTGGAGCTGTGTTGATTTACACCAGCCAAGGACCTGTCACTCCCTGTCCAAAATGGTTAATGACACAATGGAATATAGAGGTTTCACACTATCATGATCCTGCAAATGCCTCAGATTTGTAATGCAGAGAAGACAGTGAACAGTCTGGAAGAAAAACGTAATCATGGTGACAGGGAAAGTGCTATGCAAATGAAGGAATCTTTAGTTTGCAATGAGAGGATATAGAACACATTGCACAGGAGCTATGGCCATCATCCAAAGACCATTTAAGTTAATGGAAAGACTCCCATTGACTAGACCTGGGTGAGTAATGTATTTTTTACTTCACTGACAATTGCAATAAAAAATGTTTTGGGTTGAACCAAAACCAAAATTTAAAAAAATTTCTGGTGAATTTAAGGTTTCAGAGTATCAGCCGTGTTAGTCTGTATTCGCAAAAAGAAAAGGAGTACTTGTGGCACCTTAGAGACTAACAAATTTATTTGAACATAAGCTTTCATGAAGAGAGCTGTAGCTCACGAAAGCTTATGCTCAAATAAATTTGTTAGTCTCTAAGGTGCCACAAGTATTACTTTTCTTTTTGGTGAATTTAAGAGTAAAAAAAAATGTTTCAGGTCAAATTAAATGTTTTGTTTAAGTTTCAAGCATTTTAAAACTTTTTAATTAAAAAAAAAGGTTAAAGGAACAAAACAAAAACTCATTTTCAATTGAAAGCCTGAAACATTTTTGTTTTGAAAATGTCAAAAATAAACTTTTTATTTTTTCCAGTGTTTTTTTCACCTAACAAATGATTTGGCAAAATCAACATGAATTTACTAAACTTTTTGGTGTTGCCAAACCTGCATTTTTTGCTGGAAAAAATTTCAGTCAAAACATTTTGTTCAGCTCTACCACTGACTTCTATGGGCTCTGTGACAGAAAGTTTGGATTGCTACAAGTTGCAACTTAATAAGTCAGAAGACTTAACAGAAAAAAAGAAAAAGATAAACAAGCAGTTATGAAAAACTGAATTAATATTCATTTTGATTTAAATAATAGTTTTCAATTGACCTCTAGACAGGTAAGCAGTCAGATGCCTTGAAAACTTTGGAGGAAAAGCGTTACCAAAAATGCAAAGTATTATTCATTTATTTTAATTAATTACAAATATCTGTCAATCTGTGAACCAGACACTCTTCTAATGACAGGGATAGTGCAGAAATTACCCATAAAACTCCACAGCCAAGTCAACCATTAATCTCAAGGGTGAGAACAGTGCCACCACAGGAAGACAGGAAAGACGGATATTTAGCTGAACCTCCTACCTTTTCAATAAGCTGCACAGGATTTAGCCACCAAAGTTGCAGGTTTAAAGGACAGACACTAATTCAGACACAATAGCCTTTAGTCTAGAGGTACCATGGCTATAGAAAACCATGAAGTATGGGGGGTGGGGGAGGAACAATGAAATTATGATGAAGTGAAAAGAAAACTAAAATTTAAGAATCATAGCATACCTATGCTGCCCCTAATCTGGGTGCATGAGGTCTCTAATAATTTTTGTTGCCCTTCTCTGGACCATATATGTTTCTGCTTTTTCTTTTTTTGATGTAACCAAGTGTGGTATCATTTTAGAACCAAATTCTTCTCTCAGTTCCAGAGGTATAAATCCAGGATAATCTTATTAAAAACCAGTTGAGTTACTCCCATTTACCAATGTTCTTACACTGCACCTGTCAAGGTGGTGTGTGAGCAAATCTGGATTTGAACCAGCATAACTGAAAATAGAACTTGACCTTCCCTGGCTGATATGTTCGCTTTTAGTTGATGATGTCTTGGCCTTGCAAGAGGATGGACTTGAATTTAAATGTTATTCTCTGTGCCTCTCTCTTGTTATCCTGAAACTAAACACAATGTTCAAGGTCACCAATGTATTTAACAGCAGATTTATATAGTCACAGTAACAATATTCTCCATATTGTTTTCTCTCCTTTTCTTAATATAGCTGTGACGGGTTTTGCTTGTTATGTGGTGATAGGAAGATAACTTGGTATTCAAGTCCTGTTAGGGAGATCACTGACGAGAGGAATTCTCCAGTATGACGTTTGGCTTTGGATCATTCAGACTCTCTGAAAGGCACTTCCTGAGCTGGGTGGGCATGAGTCCGTCCCTTTTCACTTCTCCTATAGTATCTAGCAAGTGATTTGCCTACTTCCTGGCCTGGTATGAATGTGCCTTTTCTCTTTTCTTTCTGTCCTAGAGCTGGACATATTCTCCTTCTTTCCTTTTCCATCTCCTATTTTCCTCTCTTCAAACAGAACCATTAGGAAAATAAAAGTGTTACAGCAGTTTAGAAAAAGGCCTTTGAGAGTGCATCAGGGTGAAGCAGGATTGGCTCTGTTGTTTCTACAGCCCTTTCAAGATGTAAAATGCTGCGCAAATGCTATTCATCATTAATAACAATAATGTTTTATTGAACTATTACAGGAAATAGTAATACCTTGTATGTTAATACTGTAATATAGCAAAGTTGGCTTCCTCTATCAATTTCCTGTTTTAAGATACTATTATTAAGTTACCTAGGACCAATATAGAATTATGAAAAAGTCCAACATAGCATATGAGAGCATGGAACAAACCCTAATGAGCCAAGTCACGTACACAACATATGGCCACAGAACGTGGATACATAAGTTCTTAAATGTGCTGTAGTGCACAATCCTACACTGGCTAAATCATAAGGGGTAATGATGAATTAATTATATATTATGTCAGCTAAAGATTTAGTGAGAAAGTAGGGATGGGAAAGTCATTTAAAGAGACATTTTTGGGTAGATTAGGCACAACCTGTAGTTGTTTTAGACTAAAACAGAAACAATAACGTATGTGAAAGTGGTTCCTTCCAACACTGAAGTACTTGGATCATTGTACATCCTAATTTGGGTGAGTGGTCTTTCATAGTGAGTTATACACAGATTAATTAGAGGGGGAAGGAAAGCAAATATCACATCATCATTATTTTACATTGATGTTGTGGTAGTGACTAATGACCTCAATTAAGTCATAACAGCATCACACTAGCCACTGTATAAATGTATAGTGAGTGACACTTCCTGCTCCAAAGAGTTTATAGTCTAATAGACAATACATAACAGGTGGGCAGTAGGATGGTAAGGTAAGATGGGGTAACAAAAACAATAGTGTGTTTTAGTACAGACTAGTTGTAGCTAAGAATTATGCACAATCAATAGCAGATATCACAGTTCACCACAGACATATAAAGGAAAAATGCCAAAATCACAGGTCTCATTTTAATATCCTGTTGCTGCTTTTTGACCTGAGTGGCTAGTCAAATTTTAGGGCCCTGGGGATGTGCCAGTTGGAACAAGAAATTGTTGGAAAGTAGCATTTTCTTTGACGCTTGCTTTTTTATTTACAAGGAACGTACAAAGTCTTCCTTCTCTGAATTCAGGAGGAACCAAGAACAAAAGGTGCAGTTTCACAGCCCCCAAGCCTCTTTAGCCAAAACCAGACCCAAAATTTTCTCTCTAAGTCACACTGTGCTCACAAGCTAGTGCTTGGCTTTCTTGCTTTTTGCCTCTGCCTCTCGGTGTTCTGTCTGTTCTCAGTTTCCATGTGTTCTGCCTTCCATCCCGCACACAGATGCAAAATGAACAATACTTATCAAAGCCTCGCTGCCTGCCCAGTCAGTCCAAACTGTGGGGTTTTTCACAGTCTCCTTTTGTTTTAGATTGGGGGCGTCTGATTAACTCCGTTATGTAAATTGAAAGGTGCATTCACACTCTGTCCCAACAGATTTGTTATCAGTGCAGTCATCAGCACCTCTCAGCATAATGCTCTTTTCTTTTACAGTAAAAGCTACTTAATAACACTTAGCTGATTGTTTAAAATATTGTAGGACTTCTATACACTGCATCTCATTCAGTAGCAGCAAACCTCTCTACATCATAATCAAATGACAAATGCCTAGCCTAATTTTGAAGAGCTCCTGCCCACGCTTACCTTTGATGCAGCCAGGTTCAAACATGGCAATGCTTAAGGTTCTCAGTTAAATTAGTGCAGTTGTTTATTATAACAGGATTGTCTAGTGGTTAGGGCACAATGGGACCCAGGAAACCCACGTTCACGTCCCTGTTCCACCCCAGACTTCTTGTATGACCTTCTGCAAGTCTCTCTCTACCTCTGTTCCCCCTCTGTAAAATGGGAATAGCACTTTCTTAACTGACAGATAAATACATTAAAGATTATGAGGAACTCAGATACTACAATAACAGGGAACAGATAAGTACCTAAGAGATAGATCCACCTGCCCACTATCTCTGAACAAGTCTCTTCAATCAGTGTCAATATGAAGGAAGCAAGAGTCTCCTCCTAAAACCCGATTCAACCCAGTAGCGAGATTTCTGTTTTCCTGGAGTTAAAGATTATTTACAAAAAAACATTTAAAAAGTATTTATCAACTGTTCTCACTGGCATCTGGGGAAACAAAAAAAAGTTACTTACTTGTAACTGGAGTTCTTCGAGATGACTGCATGTTCACATATGTGGGTAGCGGGCTGACCAATGCAGCCTAACGGTAGAACCTTGTCCAAGCAGTGCCTATTAGAGCACATGTGTGCCCCCTCCTGCTGCTCCTCTCACTGTCTTGGAACGTTCTGAAAGGGAGGCTACATAAGGGGTGCTGCACCCTCTACTGCCTCAGTTGCTTCCACCACTGACCCAAAGGAACCAAAATAGGACTCTGAGAAAAGGGGAAAGAAGAGCAATAAGTGAGCGTAGGCAGAGGCCTCTCAAAGAACTTTGATTACAAGTAACCAAACCTCATTTCTTCTTCAAATGGCTCTGCATATTCGCACTTACGTGTAATTTGGCAAGCAGTGGTAAAAACCCAGGAGATGAAACAGTGTCCTAATTAATGGTTGCAGCACTGCTCCACCAAACCTAATATTTTCTCTTGAAGCCAAATCCAGCGCATAATGTTTAGTAAACATATGGACTGACTTCCAGGTAGTAGCCTTACATTACGTATTGCCCCAGTAGGAATAAACAAATGATGCTGCTACTGCCCTAGTGGAATGAGATCTCACAACAGTGGGCACAAGTATTACTGCTAACTTGTAACATTCAATTGCACACTGCTTAACACATCTGTAAATAGTCTGAGCAGATACATGACAATTCATCACTCTCAGCATAAGAAATAACTTAGAAGAGTTCCTAAAATGCTTAGTTCTATTTAAATAAGATACCAAAGCTCTTCTAGCATCTTAAGTATGTAAAGCACTTTCCCCTTTATTAGCATTAGTCTTTGGGGGGGGGGAAACACTGGTAAATTAACTGATGTGAAACTGCGACACTATTTTTGGTAAAAACCTGGGATCAGGTGTAAGAACCACATTGTCTTTGTGAAAAAAGAGTAAATGGAAGCTTGGCTATCAAGACATGTAATTTGCGCATCCTCTGGCTCTTGTTAGAGGAACAGTAAACACAGTGAGTATGAAAATATGAAAAACTCTCATGAGGTATCTGATAGCATTTGTCTGGTATCTTAGATAGGCTGATAAAATACACAGTCTTAGCAGGTTGCAAACAGTATGGGTAAAGATGTCCTATTCCTTGAAGGAAGACCTACAGTGTTGAATACAGGGTGTGACACCTCTTCCACAGGAACGAGGTAAGTCCAAAGTGGATGCCATACAACCCGCTGATTTGTGGAATTGCAAAGGATGCTCAGAAAGATGATGCAGCACCAATGTCCATGCTTATCAGGTGACAAATCAGGATCAAAGTCAGTATCCACCTGACCCTGCTCAAAAAGAGGCATGACCACCTCTTCTTCTTCCGACAAAATGTCAGGAACCACCATTTGAGCTGCAGACGGATCTGGCAGATTGGATCCATGTAATCCTCAGCTACCAGATCCTTATCAGTCAGAACCCCATTTTTATAGCCATAAGGTGGATGATTCAAAAATTCTGGGGGTAGATTAGACCACGGAGACCAGGACTGTCAGTCTCTCCAATCATTGGGATCCAGGAACATATCCATACGAGGAACGCTCCAAAAGACTGAGGAAACCCAGACTTAGGTGGCAAAAATTTGGATGGTTCAAATCTTTTAACTCTTCCTCTATCCTCTTCTGAGGATCCAATCTCAGATCCCATTACAGCTATCGTCAGAGAAAGCAACAGCGGGTGTAGAGACATAAAAGGTCAGAAGGATCAGCCTGGTGAACTTCTAGGAGTAGGCGGAGGAGGCGGCAAAGATGGATCTGGAGACAGTCACAATAATTTTCTAATCTACCCCTCTTTTCAGATGAAGCAGATTTAGATCTATCAAAGCCTCTCTCTTCCTCTTCCCCAACAGTCTCTCACTCAGATCCGATGAATGCTCAGAAGCTTAACAGGGAACATCAGCCACCTCAGTAATAGCCCTTTTCAGAATCAAAAGTGACACTGAATTGGGAATGAACAACAGTACCAATATTATGGGTTTAGGCATCAGCAGCTCTGGAAAGAGTTTCAGCTCCATAACCGTGTGCTGTGAAGCCGAATGTGGAAATGGTTTAGATTTCAGTGTCAGAATTGCAGAGGACATGAGAGAATCGGACAGATCCAGTAAGTCTGACCTATGGGATCTGGCACAGCTAACAGTGGCAGTCTTCTCTCTCATCTTTTTCTTCAGAACCAACAGCTTAAATGTGGGGTCTTTAGCCACCAGCTGACCTGACAATGCCTTTGACACCCTAGCAGTTTTAACAGGATGGTCCAACAAAACAGGAACAGGAGTGGGAACCAATGACGACCCAGACCAGTGGGATCCTTTAGGAACTTTACTCTTACCAGACAAGGCAGTTGGAGATGAAACAGGCCTCTTGGTCTTCGGATCCAACAATCTCCCAGAAACCATTGGCTTAGGAGCACATACAGACTATTCTGCCTCTCCTTACCCGCTCTGGGTGTGTAAGTCTAACCCATAGAACATCAAAAGAAGGAGAGTGACTTTCTCTGAGGCATTTAGAGCACCTAATGTGGTCATCCAATTCCAGGAAGCTAGCTGGGCAAGAAGAGCATCTCTTCAATCCTGGCTTCTTCTTCTTCAGTTATGTCATCACAGGGAACCAAACCTAAAACTAAAACTAAACACTAAAAGCTAACAACAACAACAACAATTATATAAAGGCATTAAAATATAGTAGAAAAACCCAGACCTGTTGCACTGGAGAGGTTCACTTCCATCTGGCATAACTGGTTGGAGGGAACTGAGTTGGTAAAAGGCACAGCATACCCTGATATAGCCTCATCCTCAGAATTTTTGAAGACACTGAGGGGAGGGTTAAGAGGAGGAAGATGTGTGCAGTGACAGGCACTGCTCAGAGAAGGTTCTATTGTTAAGATGCACTGGTTGGTTCGTTACTCATATGTGGGAATATGCAGAGCCACTCCAAGAATCACATTTATTCTCTCTTTTAGGTTACTGTGTGTAAATGTTGACTTTTTATCAACTCTTTATTTAAAAGCTCCAATACATCCAGTTATCAATGTCATCTAGACATTCCTCCAGACATACAACCAGAGGAACAAAGGAATATAATGGAAATTGCCATCCAGGATCAGATCCATGCGCCATGTAATGTCCCACTGTGATCAGCACCAGATGTTTCCTAGAAAGGTGCAAGAAACCTCCTAACTGCCAGTAAAGACTGGCTTAAGCCTTGAAGCATGAAGCTTAATATCATCTCCAAAATGTATATTAGCATTAACTATAGCAACTCTGGCTATTCTTATTATCCATACAAATGTTCAGTTCCTTTTTTAATCTTGCTCAGTTTTCGGCTTCAGTGACATCCTGTGACAATGAATTCTACAGTCTAATTGTGTGCTATGCGAGAAAAAAATATTTCCTTTTATCAGTTTTGAGTTTACCACCTTGTATTGAATATCCGTTTGGGTCTTGTGTTATGAGACAGGGAGAACAGAAGTGATTCAATTTGCAGGGTAAGCTATAGCTGCAGCATTACATCAGATATTGTAATCCTTTGTTTAGAAATTATGTCAACCAGAGATGCCTGATATATATTGAGCAGCAGGCTACAATAGGTGCTGGCAAGAACTACTCTGCATGAGCCATTTTGCATCCAAGACCCATTCTGCATGAGCAGAAATGTTTTCATTATTTATTTATTTCAATGAACACAATTTATTGTGTGGATTTAACCATTTTCTTCCAGCGTTTGCAACCCAAACATTATTCTGTTGTATTAAGGCATGAGAATCAGCAAGTGAAAATGACTTATCTAGCTTCATTTCCCAAGGTGAGTGAAATGCAAAGGAGTAAATAAACAGCGTAAATGATGAAAAGTAAAGGTGAGCGTGAAAAAGCCCTGGATCCAAAGATGCTCAGGTTTTGGAGTATAGTTAGGAGCCAGATTCAGAGTTTGAGGGTGGGCCATCTTATCCATGGTAGCCAAACAGAAACCTTGAATCTGAACATTGCTGAACTCCTAAGAACTTATATTGAGGAAGGTAACTGGGAAAGGGCTGGTTTTATGAGCTCATTCAACCTGCCTTCTAACACAGACCCTATGCTACATAGAACTCAGACTCACTCTCTTCCTGGTGTTATAAATTACTAATAAAACCATACAAAGTTCTGTTCAAACTTCTCCCCAGATTTGGTTGCTTCTAGCTCAGTGAAACTGTACTTTTGTTAATTCATTCTGTTTATTGGTTAAGATGAACTTGTACATCACCATGTTCTGTACTTCTAGAACCTAAAAGACACAAAGTATATTTGTAATTTAGGAGAAGTGAATGTAACTAGCTCTTAAAATGCTTACCGTTATTCTTTCTCAAAATGTCTATCTGAGTCTCTCCTACGCAGTAAACCTTCCCCTTCCTTTTGCAGACTGCACTAATATCAGGCTCCACATACAGTACAGACACTTCTGAGGTAAACTGAAGGATGATCATTTCTTACTTGAAGGAGAAAAGAGTTTGAGGCAGGTCCTCAGCTGGTGTAAATCAGCATAGCTCCCTTAACCCTAAAGGAGAGACACCAATTTACACCAGCTGAGGCTCTGGCCCTAAATATTCATTAGATCTTTAGGTTTTTCAAAGCAGAGTTCACTGGAACAAATATAAGAATATCCAGTGTCTACCCATGCAACCAACTGAATGCCAGTGACTTATCCATTGTCAGGACAGGTCATAATGGACTACCATACTGTTGCTAGGAGATCAGCTACAAGGCTTGTTTAACAGATTCTTCTGGTAGTCACTTAACTCTCCTCTCACTCCATTGAAGTCAGTGGGGTTACTGGTGTAAAACCAATGTAAAAGGAGCATGAAACCCAATGGCACTGAGTATACAAGGTTTGGGAGTTGGGCAGGGTCAGGGAGGGGCTATCAAATCAATCAATCTGGTACAGTTTGAAAACCTCAACAACTATATATTAATTATTTGTATTGTGCTAGCGCTTAGGAGCCCATCATGGGCCATGACCCTATTGTGCTTTGCACTGTAGAAACACAA